GGGGGAAATGGGCATTTATTGAAACCTTAAAATCTGTACCCCCATAATATGCCAAAATAAAAAAAAAAAAAAAATTAAACAGTGAAGGCCGGGTGTGGTGGTTCACACCTGTAATCCTAGCATTTTGGGAGGCCGAGGTGGTAGGATTGCTTGGCGCCAGGAGCTTGAGACCAGCCTGGTTAACAGTGAGACCTCATCTCCACCAAAAAAAATAAATAAATAAGTTGGGTCTGGTGGCACGCACCTATAGTCTCACCTACTCAGGAGGGTGAGGCAGGAGGATCGCTTGAGCTCAGGAGTTTGAGGTTGCAGTGGGCTATGATGACATCACTGTACTCTAGGCTGGGCCACAGAGGGAGACCCTTTCTTTCATAAATAAATAGTGAAAATATAAAAAAAATTCGAATACTAATATAGTTTGAAAACATAACTGATTTTAAAATATGATTCTGGAATGAGTCCATAAGCCCTCTTCTGCTGACTCATGCCCTTGAGCCCACATGACCTCTCCTCCTCCAAAGTCACTCATCCTACTTTGTAATCTCTCCACTAGGGCCAGGCCACCTTCGGTTTCAGGGGAAGAGACTGTCGCCCATCAGACCCTTGAGTCTTTACAGAGGCCAGTCCTTCCTTCCCAAGATGGTTAAGACTTTCTGCACTGAGCGCTTCCTTAAGGCCTGCAGCTCCAGGGAAGAATTTCATTCTTCATTTGCCAGGGAGCACATAAACTCATTGACACAAGTCTCATCTTCTTTCCTTCCCTCCCGTCTCCTCTCTCTCTCTCTTTCACTCAAACACATTAAGAGTTCAACAAAGCAAAGGGTGTTGGTACAATAGCCAAATGCTTTGTGGAGCTCTTGCACCAGGGAAGTAGAGCAAACTGAGTTAAGAAACCTAAAAAACTGAGATACCAACTGCTCAGCCTAGTTGGAAAAGGTAGACATGCCTTAACATGGTTCACAGAACCACCCCGATTCAGAGCAGAACGAGAGGCCGAAGGGTGACATTACACAACGTAACAGAGTCATCGCACCATGCAAAGTCCCATTAAAACGACTGGCGAAAAGGAGGCTTAACTGAAGAACATATTTCCAATAATGCATCTTGGCTGACACCCCAAGAGAGTTCACTGCAGAGCACATGAGTAACATGGCCACGAAAGCTGGGGCTGGGACAGAAGTGTGATGGATTCCATGTAATAAATACCAAGATCTGCACTCGTTGGTCTTAATTGAAGCCACAGAAACACATCAACCACAACTATTGACCTGTATGCACATTATCTCCTGGGCACTCAGACTCTAACATTTATTTCCTTTTCTTCCAAGACAAAGTAATTTGGGGGCACTGATGGGTCTGGTTAAAAGTGTGTGGTGATGTCTACTTTTTCTCTGTGAGATGTAATTAATGGCCTCCTCTAAGAAGCCTTCCATCTAAGACTGCATATTTCCATCAGAGATCTGGCTTCATCATCGTTAGAGACTCAGTATCTTGAGCAAGCAGAAGTTATTCAGCAACAATAACAGAACACGGCGCAGCGTGGTACTGTGGCATTAGCTTTTACAGCGTTGCCACTCCAGACCCTGGTGGGCCCAAGCTACAGAGGACAGCTCCTTACCGTGACTGGCAGGGGTGTGTGTTGCACCTCCTGACCTGGGGCTCTGGGCGGCTTGCTTGCGGGCAGTCACTGTCGTTCACCAGAGTGGTGGTCTTGTTAACAATCCGCGTGCATGAAACGATGGTTCTGCGTTCCCCTGGAAACCAAACCGCAGGGAGCTGAGAGGCTGTCGCCGCACACACCTGGCAAGGCCACGCACCCATGCTTACGCAGGAGTGTGCAGGTGCAGCTACTGATCAGTTTGTCATTTAAAGTGACTGCTGTAAATGTCGCATTCGTTGCAGAGAGGGAAACTGTAATCTTAGGGATGAGGGCATGCGAGATATGGCAGGGCCAGTGTGGGGCAGGAGAAAGATTCTAGAACAAGATCAGAAAGCAGCGACAACTCAGATCAGCTATGTTCTTGGACAGCTTGGGCTCCACTGAGGCCGGATCTCTGATTTGGGTCTTTAATTTCCACCAAAGATTGCCAACCTTTTTACTCGCTCATTTGATGTTTAAAGTCTATGGAGATCTGGTATCAATTAAACACCTGCACCTCAGCCCTCGCCAGAGAGCACGGTGACCTATGACAGAATCCTGCTTGCTGGGGAGGAGTGGGGACAGGGAGTCTGGCCTAGAGGACACACAGACCTACATCCTCCAGACAGGCACCCCAGAGCCAATCTGAACTTGTTCAGCCAGCCAACTGGTACTTTCGCCTACGTGTCATCTGCCCCCGGGAAGCTCTGCCCACTTCTTACCCCAGCTGGAAGCATCCCTTTCCTGGTGTTCCCAAAGCACCCTAAACAGTGCATGGCCACGCCTTTGTCAGGGAGGCTGAACGATTGGGAGTTAGGAGGGTGGTCTCTGGAGCCAGACTGGGCTTAAGTCCTGGGTCCATTGCCATTAGCATTCCAGTGATCACAGCATCAACAGTTGGCCACCATGCTTCTGTGCCTCGGTTTCCTCAAGGGGGCTGGTTTGCCTAACCTCCCTGTGCCTTAGGGTACTTCAGTGATGGTTAAAATCAATTAATACATGTAGGTGCTTGGAGCAGAAACTGGCAGGTGGCTAACACTTCATGTTAGCTGTATTACATTATTATTATCTGGAAGAGTGACAATAAAAGACTAATAGGGAGTCAAGTGCAACTATGTGGACCCCAGACTCCTTGCTGGGTTTGTCTCCTGAGGAATTTGTCATGTAGGAATGACTCAAAATGACAGAGTCCTGAACTCCACTGTCAGTTCCTACTGCCCCAAACTGCAGCCCTCTATGAGTAAGGAAGGCACAGAGCTGCTTTCAGCTTTGGGGCAGGTCTGACTACCGTGTCAGGGAGCCAAAGTCATCAGTGTCACAAAGGGATGGCCACCAAGCGAGCCAGCAACAACTGCAGCAGAACATGTGCTCTTCCCCCCCCACCGAGGGGCGCCTGCTCACTGTGCTATTTGGGCTGTGCTTAGTTTGCAAGAAGTTGCTATAAAAGAAAAGCCTGGCTGTAGACAGAGGTGGTGGGTAGATTTGGAGGTTGGAAGGCCGTCGGCACAGAGGGGACACTGAAGGATGGAGGGAAGGGGGCAGAGTGGAGGACGGCCAGGCTGATGGAGGAATCTGGCGCTGCCCACTGCCACAGTGCTGCTTCAGGAAGAGGCTGAGAACCAATGGCGAGGGCGCTGGCCAAGATGCACAAGAAGGCATTCGCAGTTGACCCTCGCAGCATCTGATGGGCTCAGTCATCCTGCGGCTATAATTCTTACCCATGGAAAATGGGGTGAGTCCCTTAAATGGCAAAGAATCCCTTACACACTGGGTATCTGGCAAACACCATCTGAGCAGTCAGTAGCTGCTCAGGAGTGGGGGTGGTTGGGGCTGTGCCCGAGTTTCCCCTACGATCGCACTCGTTGGGTTGGCACTCCAGAGCAGGTCGCCCTTCCGTCCCAACTCTGTGCCCACCCAACTCCACCCAGCCCATGCGCCATCTCCCATGATGACCCTTGCTGTGTACCCCATTAGGGTGGCAAGCAACATTGCACTAAGGGACTGCTGGCTACGGGTTCAGAATGGCTTCCTGAACGACACCATAATAAACGTGATGCCTTTTGTTCATACCGATCCTTGCGGTACGACAGTCTCTTTGGCTCATTCCACAGCCCCAACTGTGGGTGTGAGTACCGATCATCTTATATTGGAGGTGAGGAAATTCAGGTGCAGAGAGGTGTTCCCATGAGGTGGCCGTACGTCGGCCAAATCTCCACCCACGGGTCAGAGCCAGGGCCCTGGGCCACGGGAGACACCGCAGTGTGGGCACGGCTCTGGTGTGGGAGTCGGGAAGGCGCTGCCCCAGCCTTCTGCAGGGAGACCTGCACCCTGTGGGGTGTGGTTAAATCCCTGTGCAAGTGTAGGTCACATATTTCCCACACTCCGTGTACTGGCCGCAGAGGGCCCTGATTCACTTCTCCCTCAATTAGCAAACCCCACACCCTGTGAGAACCCCACGCCCGGCGGGCTGTGGCCCCACCGCTCACCTCCTCCGCACTGCACGCTGCACCCCTCCCAGCCGCTGTGCGTCCAGAGGAACAGAGAGTCCTGCGGTTTCTCAGGCTCGCTTTGGTTTTCAGCAGTGTAGTTTACAGGAACGGTGTATTCGTAGTGAATTCCATAATTTTGGTCATGAAATAACAACACCTGAATCGACAGCAAAACAAAAGGTCCACTTAAAAAGGATAGAAGGCCCTTAGGATTGCGGGATGTGCAAACCAAGCCACGCTGTGGCTGTTTCTCTACCAGGGGTAACCAGCTTTTTGGGGGGGGGTTCAGAACAGGTTCAGTCTTGGAGTACTCTTTATCTTAGGCTTGGACTCCTCAGGTATACAACTTAGGGGCTGGGCAAATGCAAACCATCAATTTCTTCTGTTCTCAAGAAAGGACTGAAGAGTTTGGGATAAGCACCTTTGTGGGCTCTACATGCACTTTTCATGAAGAGCTGCTCCCAGCAGAGAAAGTCCACGTTCCCACATCCTCACCATGAAGCTGCCCGTGCAGACAAGGAAGACACAGATACACCGCTTTTACCCAGAAAGGCATCTGAGCATGTAGGGTCACTCCACATCTTTGGAAACGAGCATGGCCCTTCACTCCTCTGTCACCAATCATTGCTCTGCGTCAGTTGGCCCAGAGATCTGGGGTAAGGCAGGGTCACGGGCAGACACAGCCCACTGCGGGGAACTCTGCGGGCATCTGTTGGGAGTGCAAGGATGCAAGAGCCCTCTCATGGCCATGGGAGCCAGGATGATGACTGTGCCCATTGGTGGCAGAGGCCTGGCTCAAGGCTTAAAGCTGCGAGTGGGGTGGAGATGGGGGGGTGGCTCTGTGATACTTTGTTGGGCGCTATTATGCAGCTTGAGGACCCCCAGGTCTGAAATCCTAGTGAGTGTGCAGAATAGATTGGTCTGCATGTGACTTTGTTTGGGAGTGCATGTGGCAAGTTATCTATGGCCAGCAGGTGTGCTATCAGATTTATTTCTCTAGACATAATGGTGCAAAACAAGCCCTTTTGTAGGAGCTTAAGATAGCCTGAAGACACATTATCTGCAGACAGGCCAAGTTTGGACCCAGTGAGTACTCCTGGGTCTGTAAGTTCACTTCCAGCCCAAGAGGCCTGGGAGAACAGGCCGGCAGGTGCTAAGGGCAGAAGGTGCATGGCCCACCTGACGTGACCCGGGAAGTCCAGGTCAAAGTGTGCCAGGCATTGTGGATGGGGGTGGGATGCTAAGAGCAAACTTAACTGCATAAACAGCCACTTCTCCACCAAATAGACTTGTAGTAACGCATTTGGAAAAATGCCTCCAGTTTGGAAAAAAACAAAACAAAACTAGTCTTAAGAGATCTTCATTATCTCAGTATGGGAATAAACTGGTGAATTGAGAATCCATATGAAAACAATTTCATGCAGTTTTGTAGCCACATATAATTTGTGTGTGCATGTGTGTAATTGGTTTCAAATGCAGGCCCCCGTGACTCTTGGGTGCTCTTGACTCTGCAAGGAATGTGTGCACCCCAATTTAGAGACCACGGCTTTCTCTATTGGGGAAGAGGAGTACCTCTCACTTCTAGGTTTAAAAATTTGAAGCGACATGATATTTCAAGAGAGAAAAGTGATTAATATTAAATAAAGGCTGAACCTTCAGCTATGGCAGGGGCTGTTTTCTCTGAGCTTTGTTTTTCATGGTTTGAATGAATCTGGCCTGTGTGCTGCTTTAATGGACTAACGACTTGCTCAGTTTACGAAAGCTTTTGGTAAAAGGAAGCACACTTATCTTGGTGTTTGTTAGAGAAAGCAAATTCACACACTAACAGGTGATGTTTCATCTAATCTTTTGCCTCCTTTCTTAGTCCCTCTGAATAACTGCTTTTAGCTCAGTAGGAGGATTTGTTCTAACTTCAACTAGGAAACAATCTTACCCCAGAGAATGACTTGGGAACAACTTCTCGGGTCCTAGAAATTTACTTGCAGGAATATATTTGCAGTGGATTTAGTGGGCTGAGTGGTGCATATGCAGATCTCCCTAAGTTTTAGGTCACACATGGAAACTGCCTCATTTTTGTCTCACCAGAAAGTATAATGGGGTTAGTGCCATTATAGTGTGACACCCCACCTGGTCTCCTCAGGAGGGTCCACGGGCAGTGGCCAGAAAATCTTTTGGGTGTCACCTGACCTTGAATAGCTGCAGGTTGCCAGAGATCACAAATTAATGTGGAAAAACAAATTCCAAGTAGAGACTCCAGCAGGCAGTGAGGAAAAAGTGTGCTTTGATTATAGGTGCACAAGCTGCCAAAAAATCCTGTTCTTTGAAAGGAGACATGAAATCAACAATTATCAATAATTGTGAGCTATCTGAAGTTAGCCATAAGAACTCCTGGCATCTGAGAAGGAAACAGTGGCATTCCTTTCTCTGGGGATCTTTGATACGTTTCAAAAGATGCACGGCTAGCTGTTTAAGTAGCTCACGTGGAGGTCGTCTCCCTGAGACAACAGATAAGAAAGTGGCGCCCTGGCCCGGCCTAATGGCACAGGTTTCTCCAGACCACCTGGAGAGTAAACATACCCATGAAATCTGATTCTCCTTCCCAATTCCCAAATGCTCATTGCAAGCTGAGTCTGAGAAATCCTAGGGAGGCTGATTTGGATGTGGAGTCGACAGTTCGCTTTCCAAAAGGCAGTTGCCAATGTGGATGTACAAAGTTGGGGCAGATCTCTGCATCCCGCCATCTGATATAAAAACAGACTTTGCTAACGAGGCCAAGTCTCCCTGGCTGCCACCCACCACGTGGCTAAGCATTTCCTTCTTGGAGGTAGCTCCTTTTGAAAAAGTTAGGAGCTCTGCCAGAGAAGATGCAGGGGGAAGCTTCGAGAGAGAACTTCCCCCTCTCGAAGACCCACTGGGAAGGACAGGGGAGAGGACTGAGCAGCAGGTGGCCTCATAAAACCCTGGGAGCTGGATGCAACCCCTGTTCCCCAGGCCCAGGAAGAAGTAACTGGGGAGACCTCTTGGAGCCATGCCCCTCCCCCAGACAAGTCCCAAAGCCCAGCAAGTTACCATCAAATGCAGGGGTAGTTTGGTTGGTCCCTTGGCAGAAATCTTCTCCCACAGGCCCCTTCTCACATAGCGGACAGTTGTGCCTGCAATCTGGAACTCTCCAGGGAGCTCTATCTTCCAGTCGCTGTTGATGGATCCCTTACCGGAGTCTTTGAGAGCTAGAAAGAGAATTGAACACCGCAGAATCAGGGGGGATCCAGCCTGTCTTTACTGGGAACCTAGGTGCCTTGAGTCGGGCAGGGGTCTCCCCGTCCACAGGGCCAGGAGGGAGAGGGAGGCCTGCAGTGAGGGAAGGGAGCTTTCTTCATGCTGAGAACAGACGTCTGGCTCACAGGGTCACCCGGGAAGAGCTGTCAGGATTCACGGGGTCCCTTCAGACCTGGACTGTGTGCCTTGAAACCAGCCTAAATAGTGAGGGTGGAGGGAGGGGCACAGGATGGAGACCACCGTAGCCAGATCACGTTTCACCAAACTTACCAAGTAGACGGTTTCCTGCCTGATGAATTAATCCTATGTCAATGTGTCCTAGGCTACAAAACAAGTTTTGCTGCTTTAGCAAAACTCATCAATTCCCTTTATGCTACCTCCCGGGGGCTCTGGAAGGTGGGCAGCCTAACTCCAGCACCTGCGAGGGATTGGATACCCCCGCATGAGTAAGGGGGACGTTCCTTCTAGAAACGATGGTTATTCTATTACATATTTAAGTCTGGAAGCCACAGCTGCCCACAGATGTGGCGGTCACTCGCGGCATCTGCGGGGGGCGGGACGCTGTCCCACGGGCTCTGCAGGCCCCAGGTTCACGTGTTCCCTTGCTCTCAGCTCTACGAGGTGCGGAATGGGTTGGAAGAGACCGAGCACAAACATGTTGCTGACGGACCATAAGCAAGAATTTGGTTTTCCGCACAAGCCATCTATGTATTCTTATCTGAAGCGCCCACCGGGGACTCTCCTGTGTCTTCTCACTGAGGTTTGGGGTCCATGTTGACTCACAGCCACTGACCCTCACCCTCCGCCAGCGGCTGACTCTGACGTTTGCTGTCCTGGCCTGGGGCCTCTCGGTTAGGAAGTCGGGCCCCGATCTTGTCCCCGTTTCATGGCTGTTGTGAGACTCGGCATCTGTCTCTTTCTCGTCAAGCAATGTTACCACCCTGGGTTTCCCTCGGGAATCTGCAGTCGCGTGGGGCTGAGCCCTAACCCCACCGAGCTCCAGGCACAGAGCCCGACCCTGGACGGTGGGACTTTCGTTCACCTTGGGAAGAGGCAGCTTCTTCCCATGGGGTTACCCAGAAACTTGACAGAAGCCTGGATCTGCCAGCACTCGGGAAGGGAACCCCAGAGAGCACAGACAGCAGAGCCAGGACACAGAGAGACAGTTTTTCTGGTGACATCACTTTAAGCTCCTGGATCCAGCAGAGCCTGAAGCTGCTGCTCAGCAATGGAGAACTGGGTGTGGCTGTCACATGGGCCTTTTGGAGGTTGGTTTAAAAAAAAATACTAATGACGATGAGGACAGAGCAGGTAGGGAAAGAAAATGAGTATTATGGATTCCCAGAGATCACTGTAGGGCTCACCAGTGTGAGCTCAGCCCTCCTGGCAGGCGGGAGGCCTGGCGTACTCAATCCATGCCTTCAACTCTCCCGGCCTCTGCTCCTGTCCTGGCACGAAGACTCCTGATGAGGTGGCTCTTTCCCATCCAGCCTTATTGATGCATTTCCATGGCCCTTTTTATAAGATGCTTTAAAGTGCCTTATTGAGTTATAAACTGGAAACTACCCTGCCTCTGTGCCCAAAGTCAAACGTCTGAGAGGTCAGGAGTGGGGAGGCCAGGAGGAGGGCAGGCGAGCACACCTGGGGGTGATTATGAACCCGTTCCTGGAAACACTGCGGGGGCGGAAGGAGGCAAGCCCAGCCTCTGCCACAGGAAGACGGGCTGTGGGCGAGATGCAGCAGCAGCAGCAGCTATACGGGAGGAGGCGGAGCCAGCTGGGGCTTGGGGTGTGCCACCTCTGATCGCCAGAGCAGGGTCTCACTTGTCCTTGGCAGGTGGCTGGAAGAGACACTTCAGGAGTGGGTTTCAGGGAGAGCATGGAGAAGCTACTGGTTATGGTCAAGGAATTGGGAGACGGGGAGTGAGAGACATAGACATGGCTAACCGACTAGCCCAGACAGGGTCAGCTGCTGAGTCTGGGATGAGCACTCCAAACAGTGGAGCACAGGTGACAACCAGCTCACTGGGGAAAACAGCCTAGTTTTTAATAGCACATGTTGTATCCAAGGTATCAATATCCTCAACATGGTGGACTTCAAGTTATTCATCTGGTGTGCAATTGACTCCCACGAGCCACGCAGGTCTGCTAGGCGCCCAAGTTCTGAAGACGCCTATCTTTGCGTTGGAGGTACTGGTCTGGGGCCACTGACTCGGGGAAATCTCACACTGTCACCAATTTGTTGAGAGGGGAGTGGGTGTGATTCAACTCTCGCGGCCCCAGAAAGAACAAACTTCGTGTGCTCGAGCCCTGCTTGTGGCCACCCTCACAGCGGCTGCAAGCTCCCAAGCTCTGCAGATGCAGCTGTCCAGCTGCTGTCTGGTGCCCACCTCAGCGCCAGTCCCCTTCCCTCTGGACAGCCGGCTCCAGGAGACACTCACTCACACACTCCTCAGGAAGAAGAAAACAGAGGCAGAGTTAAAAGCAAGAAGTCATTGGTTCCAAGAGGCCTGAAGATCACTTTCCAACCTGTTGACTTTGTTATAACTTAGTCAGCAAGATTCAACATCTGCAGGTTGCTGTGGTTCATGCCGAAAACTTGGAACTTCCCTGCTAAAATCGGAATTTAGCGCCTGACGTTCCTTCAAAAGAGATTTCCGCCTCAGAGATTCTGTTGGAACACCCAGATCATTTTAACAGCAAATAAACAGGTTCGACGTAGAGTCCAACAATGCAATGACTTCCCGGGGCCATGGCGGCTCCAGAGAGAGAATGTAGGATACCTCTGGTCGCCTTCTGCGGTAGCTTGGGCTGCTCTCCTGGCTTCCGTGAGCCGTGCAGAGCAGGGTTTGCAAGGCCCTGTGCACAATATATCCTGTTTCCTAAAGAAGGCCTTCCAAATTAAACACATTTCAAGCTCTACAAGTTCCTGGCCCTCTCAATCCTTGGGCATCAATGGATATATCCAAGCCCCCTTTGTCTGTAAGCATTTCAAGATCAATTAGTTTGCATTTGAAATTAGGATTTTTGGACCCAGAAAAGACTCAGCAGGGCCTGTTAAGATGATTATAAGTGCTGTGATTTCATGGAAACATAATAAAGAACAAAGAAGTCCTCGAGCGACTGATTTTATTAGTGATATCTGAAGTTCTGATTTGCTGGGGAAGGAGATTTTCGCTTGCTGGCTCTGCCTGGGCCAGAGGTTAGATTTGTTTTTTATACCACTTTCCAAGACATGACAGTGCTTGCTTTTGTGGATTTTGCTCAGAAGCCTCTCAACAGTTAGACTTTCACAGGGTACCGCGTGGTGGGTACACCTTTTCCTTAGCGACTATGGCAGAACCAACCCCCTCGGTGGCCTGGAACATAAGGTCATGTGCTGAGGTCCACTTCCACACTGGCCCTTCTTCCACTCTGGGGACATTTACACATCATCCCTGCACTTCTAGGCACAGATGGGGGGAAAACCACGAGCCAGTCCAGGGGCCGAGGAGGGGGCATTCCCGATGGGAGGCCGAGGCTCCTCTTCAGAACTGGGTGGGGGCACACCCGAGCTGTGACCCTGCCTGCGTGCCCCCCTTTGGCACGGAGCTGTGCAGAAGCCAGGGTAGGGTTCTTTTCGTCTCTCTCTCTCTTGGATTCAACTGGAAGCCCTGACCCACAGTCAACCTACTTCTAATCCTGGCATCGAGTCAGCTCCTTTTATTTCCACTCGGAGTTCTGCCAGCTCTGTTCTTAGCTATGGATACAAACTGCAGAGGCATTTCCTGTTCCAGGTGGTTTCGAGCAGAAAGCCAGCCAGCGTGGGCTGAAGATAGGTGGGGTGAAATTCTTCAGGAACTGCTCCCAGCAAATGTGAGAGCAATTCAGAGTTACCCTGGGTCGACGTCCAAAGCACCCAGCCCCGAGTGGAAACGAGGCTGGCTGGAACCAACTTGAGAAACATGACAAGCGTGGACCACCTTCAGCCTGCCCGTGTCCATGAGCCAGGTCCAGAGCACTGGGATTATGATTTTCGGAAAAGATAAAGGGACGAAGCTGGCTCCCACGTCCCATGGCGACCCAGTGCTTTGGGGGAGCCGGGAAGTTGCCCCGAGACATTGCACCCATCTCCTAGGGACGGAAGTTTGCTTCTCTGATGTGCACACCACGAAGCAGTCACGATGGGCAGGTTTCACAGGCGTTCTGCAGTGAACAGCCTTCTCACCGGTCATCTCTGGCTATGGCTGGACACCTCAGGGCAAAGCCGAGGGGCTCCGTGAACCACAGCGGACTCGGGGAGGTGAGGGACTGGAATGAGCTCCAAGCCCTTGCAGCTCCAGTTCGCTCCTCTGTGGAGAAAGCACAGCGACACTCTGCAGTGTTCGGAGGGATCAGCGATCAGGTCTCTACCACACAGCAGGCCTCAGGGACTGAGAGCCCTGACGTGGACATCCTCATTCTCATCTGTGAATGTGGTCCTGAGGCTGCAGGAGCAGACAGGGACCATCATGAGAGCTGACCCCCTGGGCAGCGTCCACTAGTTAGTACTTCTTGGCCTTAAGCTGAGTCCCAGGGAAAAGTTCCTTGTCACCAGAGGAATTAGAAGTTGAGGAGTGATCCAGAGGATTCTGACCTCCTGTCATTCTTACATTGCCACATAAACGTAGAGAGAAAGAAAACATTCCTGTTTTTGCCGGACACCTGGGGGCCTGGGGTCAGGTGCAGGAACAGCACTGGGACAGCTCAGAAGCCAGGATCAGAGGCCAAAAGACTTACTTGCAGGAGCAGCTGCTGCTGGTGCTTGATGGAGGAACCAGTAAGCCGACCTCAGGGTTGAGCCAGCTCTAAGACCCAGATTATGGATTTTGAACAAGATGAGGGTGCAAGGGGACGCCAGCCTTGCAACAAGGTCCAACATACCCAGGGAGTGGAAATGTCATTCCCAGTTAGGAGTGGTGCATTCCCCCATGCACCAGCTGGGAGGGGTCACTTCTGGGGGTGACACTAGTGACGGGGGTGACACTAGTTGATAGGACTTCCACTGCAAATGCTGGTGAGGTTGACCTAATTTCCGTGGGTGGGCAGACGGAGAGGGAGTGGGGTCTTTGAGAATTTAGCAAAAAAGCTGTTACTCCCAAGAAGCTGCCAAAAGCAGCAGGAGGCCCTGTTTCAGCAAGCATGCACGAGCGTTGTTCTATTTGTGGAGTGACAGCTGGGACAGCTGGGGAGAGCGAGACAGGCAGGCCTGGGGCACAGTCCACACCGGGGAGGTGGGGAGAACCACAGGGCTGATGCAGATCCACGTGGATGCCAACTCGAGGGCAGCAGGAGCAGCGGTAGCCATCACAGCGTCAAGGGTGTAGTGTGGACGGCAGGTGACAAAGGCACAGAGGAGGTGGCAGGGCTGCCTGGGGCACAGGGGACCCACAGGGCATGGGTTCCAGTGAGTCCTGGTGTGGGCACTTGGACACGGGCACACCTGCCTCTATTGCTTCCCCTAAGGCGGGCGTGCAGGGAGGGCCTTCCTGCCTTTATGTGTTTCCTAACTCTTGAATAACAGGACAACAGTCTTCACTGTAACTGCCTATTACGGGTATGTGTCTTGTCTCATTAGACTCTGAGTGTCTACAGTAGAGACCATTTCAAAGACAGACTTGGATACTTATGTGCAGTCTACAAAGGCAGGAACATAGACAAAGAGGTCTTCTTTTTTGTATAAATGATAAAAACTGAAATAAAATAGTTTGAGCAGCACAGGCCCACTGGGCAGCTTGCAGGAAGTTTGAGATCAGAGAAATCATGTCTTATTTTTTCTTTTCTTTTTCTAGCTCCATGAACACCTTGCAACACAAGCTGAAAGATCATAATATGAAGAGCGCTCAGGACGGGGGGTACCTGAGTGGAAGATTAGCCACCTCTAGCTTGAAACTGAACCCAAGACAGGAACATGGGATTAGGGCTGGCAGAAGGACAAGGGGTCGCAGCACATCCCATGCCAGAGAACCAGGAGCAGAGGCAGCCTCTGGGCACCCTGCTGTCCCCGTGGCAGTGTTCGCTTCCTGTGACCTGCAGAGAGAGCGCTTATGTGTTCAGCGCAGAACTCCAGCCACCCTGAGGGTCAAGGACTGGGCTGACCTTTGCTGGGGACGAAGGGGAGAGTTGGGGATTGAGACCAGGACACACTTAGAGGGTCTTCTCTGGCCGAGGAGGGGTTTAACTGAATGGACTCTTCTTAGGCTTTACCCGTGTGCTGTGGAGGGCAGCGAGGGCCAGTCAGGAATAGAACCCCAGTCTACTGAACATGCAGGTGTTTGTGCTTGAAGTCAATGGAGTTGGCCGCTAGGAATCTGGGGAACACGTACCGCCGTGAAAATCAGTGTTGTTCTGGGTTCCCAATTAGACTTAGGGCTGTTGCTCTTTTTCCAGCTAAGGAGACACTCGCAGAGCCACTGAGAGCCTATAGGTCATCCTGAGAGTGGCCTGGTGGGCCCGAGCTACTCAAGTTAACGCTGCTCTGGGCAGTCCTGGGGACTCCTCATTACTTCCTTCTGTCCTTCCTTCTTCTGTCCCCAAGCTGGCGGGCCCTCCCGTCCCCGCCCCCAATCCACTTTTGGGGGTACTGCTTATGAGTCAAATTTGACAGTGCTGTTTGGTCCACTGCAAGTACTCATGCCATTACAATTAAAAAATAGGCGTAAAATGGGTTATGACCCAGAAGAACGATGCTGAACTGAATTTATCAGACTGAATATCAAAGTCAATTCTCAGCACATAAATTGTTAAATCATTTAACAATTAAATCATTGTTAAATGATTTGTTAACATCATTAAATCATTGTTAAATCATTTTTGTTTTACCCAGAAAACTGTGAGCAGGTTTATCCTCCACCACACGGATCCTCCGAGCTCCAGCAGGAATGATAGCAGCTTCGATGTAACCTGCGGCCACAAATGACAAACAGGTGAACCACGCCTCCACCCTGGGTCAGAGGCCCACCCAGCAGCCTACCACCAAAATCTACTGACCACGCTCCCAAGGGGTGGTTTCAGAGACCGTGGGCAGGTACAGGTCTGAGAAATTAAAAATCGATGAAGGGGGAATGCTCTTCTGTGGCCAGAACCTCCCAGCCGCCTAATTTCCAGAGAGCACTATTCACGTGTGGCATAGGCTGAACCGTGTCCGCCTCCCCCAAATTCATACATTGACGTCTTGACCGCCAGGACCTCAGAATGTGAGCTTATTTGGCAGTGGGACCATTGTGGATGTATTTAGTTAAGATGATGTCACACTGGGTTAGGGGAGGCCTTATCCAATGTAACTGATGTCATTATAAAAAGGGGCAACCTGGACCCAGACTTGCACACAGGGAGAACGCCATGACAACACGAAGGCCAAGATGGGACGATGCTTCTTCAAGCTAAGGAAGGCCAGAGGTTGCCAGCAAACCACCAGGAGTTAGGCAAGGGGCCTGGAACAGGTCCTCCCTCAGAGACCTCAGAAGGGACCAATCCTGACAAAATCTTGATCTCAGACTTCTCACCTCCAGAACCGAAAGGCAGAACATTTCTGTTGTTTCTGCCACCCAGTTTGTGGTGCTTTGTTACAGCAACCCTAGCAAACTAACACAGCCTGGTATTCCACGTGAATGGCACCTCCCTGGAGCGTGAAGGAAGAGTGCCCTGGGCTCGTGCATCTGTTGGAGGTTCTTTTGCTCTTGGTTGTAGTCTGAACTTTCTTTGAATACCATGGGATATTCCTGACAGCAGAGACTAAGCAGCTTACCCTGTGAAAAACTACAATATTGCCTTGAAACGCTGCATGCTATTTCCTGTCATCCATGCTTCCTATTGTGTTTTCTGCTGTGTTGATTTTGTCTGCTTCCATGTGGATTTGATTTCTATGATAGATTCACTGATAACTTCTGTGTCTTTCCTCAGTTCTGCTAAGTCATGTTTCATCTCCTTCTGTTGCTTCATGGTGTCTTTGTATCTTCCTTGAGGTCTTGTATCTTAGCTATGCCTTCTTGTTTTATTGAGACTATTGTTTATCAGTTTTTGGAATTTATGGCAGTAATTCTGGGTCATAATTTTTACCTTTTCTTGGTAATATTTTGCTGGTGAGTTTTTTTTTAAGTAATTTGTTTTTCTTTTCCCTTCCATCCTTTTCCTATTGCAATATACTAGCATAGATTCTGTGCTGGTTCTCTTTTAAAATTTACTTCATGTTTTGAAGTGAGACAAGTTCTAATTGTTCCAGCTGTCTGCAGTAGGTTTTTGTGGTGGGGAGAGACAGGACAGTGTTGTAGGTCATCAGAACTTTCTCCTGCTTTACAGTGAAATTTGCTAGGGTGCAGGTTTACATATGTTAGTGAGTTCATTTTCATTTTCCCATTTAAAACAATTTATGTATTTTAAATTTACAAAAATACGAATGAGCATATTTTCTCATTATAAGAATTTTACTAGTACAGATAAATCTCAAGTCTCCTTAATCCCACTCCTCTCCTCTGTTGAAAACACCACTATCAGTTTTATATATAGTATTCATATATCTTACTATTTATACATATATCTACACAAATAAAAGTATCATGATATTTTCATATCTGTCTACATTTTACATAAATGTTAGGAGTAACATTATAGCTCCATATTGTATTATACTCCATTTGTTATGTTTAAAACCATATGCTTTGGAGATAATATATGTTATTATGTATAGTTATACTACTACTTCTTTTTTTTGGATTAAATTGCTATATATTTTATATAACTACTTCCCTGTTGATGGACTTTTGGGTTGTTTCAAAATTTTCACTGTTAAAAACAATGCTATACCACATATGAATATGCACCCAAAACCCCTAAACAAAACACTAGCAAACTTAATCCAGAAACATATAAAAATTATACACTATGATCAAATATGATTTATCACAGGAATGCAAGGTTAGTTTGACATAAAGAAAATTAATCAGTACTCCATATTAATAAGGGACAAAAACCATGTAATCATCTCAATAGGATTATCATTAGTCATTAGGGAAATGCAAATCAAAACCATAAGGACATAACACTTCACACATCCATTAGGATGGCTATAACAAAAAAAGAGAATCAGCAGTGTTGGAGAGATTGTGGAGAAATTGGCACCCTCATTCATTGCCAGTATATATGTAAAATGGTGCAGCCACTTTAGAAAAGAGCTTGGCAGCTCCTCAATAAGTTTAAACATAAAATTACTATATGACTCACCAGTTCCACTCCTAGGTATACACACACAAGAGAAATGAAAACATGTCTACACAGTAACTTGCACACAAAAGATTTTATCAGCATTATTAGTAATATCCGAAAAGTAGAAACAACCCAAATGTCCATTAACTGATGAATGCATTAAAACAATGAGGTATATCTGAACAATGGAATAAAAAGAATGAAATATTGATGTTTGCTACAACATGGATAAATATTGAAAATATCATGTTAAGTGAAGGAAGCCGGTCACAAAGGACCACATATTGCAAGACTCCATTTATACGAAATGTTCAGAATAGGCAAATCCACAGACAGAAATTACATTAGTGGTTGCCTAGGGCTGGGGTAAGAGGGAGATGAGGAATAGTCATTCCTACTGAGTACAGGATTTCTTTTGGGAATCATTGTGGTGACGGCTGCACAAGTTGGTGCACATGCTAAAGCTCACCGAATTACACACTTTATGTGGGTAAATTTTATGACATGTGAATTACATATTTATAAACATGCTAAAAAAGAAGCAATACTGCAATGAACAGGTTTTTATTTGTCTTTCTGTACATACATATAATGTCTTACCAAGTCAGCTACTATAGAATCGCTGAGTCAAACACATGTGCAGTTTAAATGTCAAAAGCACTGCTAATTTGCCCTCTGTAGCAGCTTGATTAATACATAAGCCAACCCAAACTACATGAGAGTACATGTTTATTCACAGACTTCTAAAAACTTGAAATGACCAATTCTCTTAATACTTGCTAATCTAACAGGTGAAAACAACATTATTATAGATTTAATTTGCATTTCCCTGATTACCAATGAGCCCGAGCATTATCATATACTTATTGGCCATTTGTGTGTCTTCTTTAGTTAATGGCCTTGTTCATAACCTTTGCCCAATTTTCTACTATCTTTTGTTTTTATTTAATTGATATACAGGAGTTTAAAAAATATATTTTAATATGTATTAATATTTGATTTTTATTAAAACTCCTTATTAGAAATGTTGCAAATATTTTTTCCTCAGTCTGTCATTTGTTATTTCTTTGTTTAGGGTGCCTTTCATCACATGGTTTTCATTTAATAGCTCATATTTTAAATTTTTGAGATCTTTTGGTTTTCTGATTGTTTCTTCCCATGGCATTCTGTTCTTGTTTTATGGATACCACAACATCTTAAATCTTTCTATGACTAGTTATTAGAGATTCTGATCTTCTATTATTTGAGTTGTCTTGTTTTTCCTGAGGGGCATTTTGTCACTTTATCTTGGTCTTTCCCATTTGTGTTATAGACTGTCCTTCTCGCATGAGGCCAGATGGGCTGTCTCCGTGTGGATGGGGGACAGGGGCGTCTTGCAGACTGCTGGGATTGGCTTTCTGCTGAGAGGCTAGGAGCTGTCGCTATGTGTTGGCAACCAAGATACCAGAACATAGAGAAGTCTGCTACGGGTGCTATGTCATGGTGCCGGCCACCAAATATTTCCAGGTAGGAATACATTTCCCTGCTCCCTTCAATGTGTGTGACCATGTGACTTATTTTAAACAGTAAAAGGTGAGTGAAAATGTATCTTTCCCCCTGTCGGAGCTTTAAGGGTCTGTTTTGTTATACTCCCTTCGTCCTGCCAAAGTGACCGTGGCAGCGTGTGAACAGAAAAACCCTTGGCCTCGGTCCAGAAGTGAGCACAAAATGCGGAGCCTCCTGCCAACCCGTGGCGGGCAGGCAGCATGACGGAGGAGGAAACTTCTGTGTTAAGCCACTGAGATCTGGGGTTCTGCATTCAGTTTTGTTTGTTTGCTCGTTTACTGCAACAAAACCAAGCACATTCATTCACGTATGCGTATATACATCCACACACGAACTTCCTCCTGAGACGTCCTTGTTCTCCCTAAACCTTTGCAGAAGTTTCTTTGCATTCATTTTCAGGTGATCTTGGGAAGACGAGGAAGTAAGCCACACGCCCAATCAGCCATGTGAGACAGAAAGTTTGGCAGCGTCCTTCCGTCCTCGCAGCAAATGCCCTGGCATTGGTACTGCAGATCCAGCCTCGGATGTTTACAAATAAATGTCCCACTGGATATGCAGAGAGATTTTCCAAATGTGAACACAGTCCAGCTTAAGGGCAGCAAGTGCCTCAGTTTTGTGCCCTGATCTATCCTGATGCCCAGGCAGGATGACTTTCACCCACTGTGTGGTCCCAGTCTGACCCCTTCCAACTGGGTCCGACTTGGGAATGGTGCAGCCTGCACACGGTTCCTGCACTGTCCAGTGGCGATGGGGCGAGGACAAGGTTATCTGATTAAAAATCCTCTCTGCTCTAAGATGCTTCCCTGCGGAAAAGGTCGGGTACCAAAAAAAGAAAAAAAAAAAAAAACCAAAAACAAACTAGCAAAAAAAAAAAAAATCCAAAAAACAGCTGTGAGGATGATAGCACTGGATTTTCTAGCACAAATTTCTCTTTGAGAAGTCTGTTCCTTCTGGGGAGTTTGAAGAATTACTGGATTCCAGTCATATAAAGTCATAAAGTGTCAAAAACTGAGATAAAAGTTGTTCAGGGTCAAAGTAATTAAAATCTTTTTTCCATTTGATCTACAAAGCGTGCTTGGGAGCAAGACCTGCTTGCGGAGCTGAGTTTATTCTCTGAGGGAAGCTGCTGTTGGAGGGACTCTTCCGATTTTGTGGCTGACGAGCCTGGTGTCAGCATCCCCCGCCTGCACAAACCGAGGCAGCAGACACAGCTGCTGGGCCCCGATCAGTGGATTCTCCACATTCCACAGCAAGGCACATTTGCAGCTGATGCATGGTCACCGGGTCTATTTTTAAGCCTAACTTTGGCACAAATCGCAGCATTGAAAAGCCATCTGTTTTCTGTCTTTTCTCATGTGCCGTCGGGTGGAGATGACGATGAACAGCAAAGCTCAGGGGAGACGTGCAACCCAAGCGAGGCTCACCCTCAGGCGACCTCTCAGGGCAGGGCAGTCATTGCTGCACTCGGGGCCCTGCTAACCTTTTTTTCTAAGATGAGTTTGGTCATGAAAAAGAGAGAATCGATTAAAGAGAAAATCCCTAGCATGAAAGGCAGGCTCTCTGCCTCTCAAGTCACTGTCCTCCAGCTGCGCTCTGACCCAGAGCTCCAAGCCCACCCCGAGGCTGGTATGGAGAGTGACCGGAAAGGGAGAGGCCCACGACCAAGCCCCAAAGCACCTTGGCATTCCTGGGGCCAGACATCCCACGATGCAGACGCCAGATACCATTACACTGACCAGGCATGAAATAGACTCAAAAAAGGGGAGGATTTACTCTCGGAATTTACAAGACAGATTCGCATTTTAGGCAAGGTAGCAAGACTTTATCTTTGGAGTAATTTTCCATTCTAGCCTCAGCCACCAAGCAGGAGAAATCCAGTCACACGAACAGGATTTGGTTTCATGAGGAAGCCATGGATAAAATGCAATGCCTTTGCCATGGTTCCAGGAGAATGTGCCAATCCTGCCTGCAGGACCAGTAATTAGAAGAACCTTCAAGTGATGCTGGCTTTTAACTTGTCTTAAATCTTCTCAATAGTTAATATTACCAGGCCATGAACACAGTTCCCTGTGAAATAATTTTTGTCTGAATTTTCCAAGATAGACCTGCTCTCAGATGATCTAGGGGTCATATTTTTCCTCGTGTTTTTAGTTGCATTAACTATCTTTTGGAAGAAAACCATTGAGCTGACAAGGTACCATGATGAAAGAGAGGTAAACCCTTGGCCATGCATACTGGGACCCTCCCTAAGCCATATCAAACATTAAAAATATATATATATCAAAGTTCTTTTTTCTGTAGATAAAAAATGTTTAGAAAGGTTTTTGTGCAAGTTCATATTTCTCCCTTATTACAAAAGTTGTTCGTGAGAATATTACTATCTATGTTTACCCCTAAAGGTTGTTCCTGGGTCTAAATGAAATACCTCATTGCTTGGGAAGCCCATGAGACTAGACTATGCTTCAGTTCACCCCGGAATGGGAGGTCAGCGTATATGGGTCAAATCAAGGCCATGGCCCTCATCTCCAGCATGGAAAACCAGGAGGTTGTGGCCAGGTGCCCCTCTGCCTGTAGAGAAATCAGCCCCGTAATATGGAAACTTCCCTATGGAGGAAGATGCCAACTGAGGCACCTTCTCTGGCACCTCTTGGCATTTTCTACCAAAGTGCCAGGGGGTGTTGAAGAGAAAGAAAACTTACCCCTGGCACACTAGGGCATGTTTCCATCTGGCCTCTTGATCCCATGACTCTTTTATTTGTTTAAAATTGGTTTGGCTGGGCACAGTGGCTCACACCTGCAATCCTAGCACTTTGGGAGGCTGAGGTGGGAGGATTGTTTGAGGCCAGCAGTTCGAGACCAGCCTGGCTTGAACTCCACAGTGAGACCCTATCTTTACAAAAACAGAAACAATCAGACAGGTGTCGTGGTGTGCACCTGTAATCTCAGCTACTCAGGAGGCTGAGGCAGGCAGAACGATTGAGCCCAGGAATTGGAGGTTGCAATGAGCTATGGTGACTCCACTGCACCCCAGCCTGGGCAACAGAGTGAGACCCTATCTTGAAAAATAAATAAAATAAAAAATAAAATTGGTTTTATTCTATAATTTTTCTTTTTGGCAGCTGGGCTTGAGCATCAGTTACATATAAACAATCAATGGCCTTTGTGTTTATCCATGGCTTCATGCATGACTCATTCCCATTGATTCTACTCAGAAAACGTTCAGGCGTGTAAAGCCAGGCAAGAGCCCCACACCAAGCATGTCACCGCTGGGACTACCTGTCGCGTCCAAACATCTTACATGAGAAACACTTGGGAACAGTCTTTGCCATCACACACGTGGACACCTTCGTACAAAGATTATTCTTGACTGAGAAAAAGAAACAGGTGGTAGTTGGTTTACGTGTACAGTTGAGGAACCAATATTGTCATTCTTAATCATGGTGTAAAGAAGCCTCACTTTGTGTCATCATCACGTAACACATTTCCCATGGGACATCCATGCCTCACACCTATAGAGGGAGGATAGAACCTGGTGCCAGGTAGGGGTTTAGTTACTGAACACATACACAACACTTGGATTTAGCCACATTCAAAGGGGACAGACGATGCCACCCTTTCTTTTAAGAACTGACTGTTTGAAAAGGTTCTCTTTAAGAACCAAGAGCAAAGGAATTCCGAGCCCTAAGGCATCCTGGTTGGTTCCCTGTGGGGACTTCATTTCAGGTGTGCCCTGGCTGTCCACGGGTGCCTGGTACCTGGAGACTAACCAGTCACCTTTTAGTGCCGAGGAGCAGGATGGACCAAAAATAATAATGTTAAAATGACAATTTAATGAAATAAAAGCATCATACCAAGAACTTTCAGATTACTAAGTTTAAATGACTCACTCGGCTGTCTCGACCCAGCCAGAGGCTAGAGCATTTCGAAGCCCTTCCATCAGAGAAGCAGCACGACAGCCGATTCCAGGTGACTCCTTCTGCGGAGGAGCCGCTGAGCACCTCATTTGCTCAATGAACACCCCACACTCAGGACGCCACTTCCCGGCCCTGCCGTGGGACCTCACGGGACACAGCAGGGCAGCCCCAGGCTTCTCGCTCGGCCACGCTGGGACGCTGTGCCTGCGTGGTCTGCCCCTGGGTTCTCGGCTCAGCAACTTTGGTGAGAGGACCCAGAGGAGTTCAGGCCGGGCTTAGGACTTCACATAACTGGGCGAAAATCCTGCGTTTGATTCCGTTTTATCTTTCCGGTATGGAGTTTCTCTTTGATATTCACCCTTAAGGGTGATAAGACATTCCTCCTTTCCTCATTCTTTGGAGCCAGGAAGAGATGAAAGTCACCTTCCTATCTAAGCTGACAAGATTAGCGAGTCCACCCAGCTGCACTCAGAGGCATCCAGATGCTCAGTGGCGTGGGGGCTTTATGTGATTTGGCTGGCATGTCTCCCCACTCTTGCCGTCAGTGAACTTCTACACGTCCTTCAGGGCTGGGGGCCACCTTGTCTGTCCGCAGGCCTGGGGGCGTTACTCCCACCAGAATTTGGGGCCTCACAACACCCCCAGGGGGCTGCCTCTACCTCACACCCACTGGACTCAACCTGTTTGTCTGGGGGTCCTGTCCCTCAACTGTGACCAATGAAGTGACAGTTACCTTTTATCTCAATGCAGCCATGCTGAATAAATGTTTACTGGGTGAACGGACTTGTGGGTGAGCCTCTGCGGGCACCCGTGCGTGTGTGCATTCCAGTACGGCAGGCCGTGGTTACAGCTCTGAGTTCAATGAAACTGTACCAGATGGGCAGCCGCGACTCATCCCCGTGCGAACGAGCTCTGCACGGACCTCCAATAAATGGAACTCGTATCGATAAGAGCTTCCGCTCACGCACCCCAACCAGTTTTGCACTTTGAAATGAACGTGTGACAATTGGCAACTGCTCAGAATGACAGAACATTTACAGGTGGGTGAGGCTAATGTGTGCTCGTCTTTCTCTGAAGGTTCGCAAAGGCTTCCCGAGCCCCTACAGCCGGAACGATGCCCGCTAAGCTGCTAGCCAGGGTGGGGACAGCTGCCCCAAGGAGGCTTCCGACGTGATCTGTCCTTCCATGGGGGACCCGCTGCCATGGGCACAGAAGCCTGACCTCACCGGGAGGAAGGCTGCACGTTCCAGACACGGATGGAACCCAGCTGGGGGTGGAGGGAAGATGGAGAGAGGAAAGGAGGGGGCAGGAGAAGAGGCTGCTACTGCGGATGGATGGATGATCTGCCAGGCCAAAACCGAGGGCCGGGACACAGAATCTGGGAAAGGGGAGAAAACTTTTGCCCTAATCAGGGTTGTCTCAGAAGTGAGCTGCTATGCTGCACACAGTGAAGGTTTTCAAAGCTTATGGTTTCTGCAGAGCTGCCCGGGGGGCGGGGGGCAGAGGTGGACACAGCTGTGTTTGACCTGCCTTCCACAGAGTAGCGCAATTATAGTCAGCTCTGTTTACTGGAACTCGGCATAAGACTCAATTTAAATACGATGTTCTAAATGCTTCCATTAAAAAAAAAAACCCATACAGTGAACAGTAACCCCTTGTGCACTGCAGTTTTCTTCCTAACACCGGAAGAGCTACAATAAGCAAGGTTGAAGTGTCACGGGACCCCGGGATCTGGGGTGCCAGTAGAGACAATGGCATCAGAAATGTCAAGACGAACAGCAGGAATGATCAAAGTTCCAGAGCCTCGCTGTGCAAGAGAACCTTCCGTGGTGACGGGGACGTCTCTATCTGTGCTGTCCAACACGGGGGCAGAGAGCCATGTGTGGCAACGGAGCACTTGGAAAGTGGCTGGTGGGACTGAGAGGTGAATTTCTCAGTTTGTTTAATTTTAATTATAATTTCAATTTGAATAGACCCAAGGGGCCCGTGGCTGCTGGGCTGGACAGAGTAGCTCGGAGGGCACCGCCCCCCCCCCCCCCCCCCCCCCCTCCTCCTCCTCCTCCTCCCGCCCCCCCCAGGGGCACCCCCCCCCCCCCCCCCCGGCCCCCCAACCAACAGACTCCAGCATCGCCTTCTTCCATTATTTCAGGAGCCAAACGGCAGGCACAGAGTCTCACCCAAGCCGTGTGTTTTGATGGCTAAGCTCCTGTCTTTAAAATCCTAAAACCAGAAAGTCCTGGGCCTGAACTTTCATTTTTAAATTTAATTCTGCATTTGCATTGACCTCTGCTTTTGCTTTCACAAGATCCTGCAAAATGTTTGTGCAATAGGTTGTCCTTTGCACAGGTCTCTAGAAGGAATGTTTCCTCTAGACCAGGTTTTCTATCCACCAGAGAAAACAGGGCAGGGGAACATGAGCAGACTTCTCCCCGTCTCATCTTACAGGGCTGTCCTATGGGACGGGGAGGGATAATTGTGGTGCTGTTCTCCTGCTGAGTGGGGCCAACCTGAAAAGTTTCTGTGCAAAGCAATCCGTGGAAATTAAAATAGAAGTTTATCAGCTCAGTTCCACCCAACAAGAGCTTCTGTGGCGAGTGGACCCTGGGCGAGTGGACACTCACTGAGGCTTCAGAGCTCGCCTCCGGGTGTTTTGCCTAACTGACGCCCCCTTGTTAAGTATAGACCACAGATGCTTCTCTGGATGTCACAAGTTGGTGTCCTTCAGGACAGGAGACTGGAAAACTAGTATCTCCCACCCAGTTCAAAGCAGCCTACAGCAGCGAAGACGGTACGAGCAGAAAGATGAACAAGGCCCACCAAGTGAACGCAGGTGTACCTTGCTGGGGACAGTGCTGGGGGACTGTCTACATGTGGGGACCAGGAGACCAGTTACTCTGGAGTCACAGCTGGCAGAGACATTCGAGGCTTTCTGGATCGTATGGCTCCATGCACGTTTTAGAGGTACGCGATGCGTGTAAATGCCATTCTGCTTTTACTGGCAGAAAACTCAGAAACAGAGCAAACCTCTTCCATCGGCAGGTAAAAATGATTTGGCAAAGTCTGCCACCTTCTCTGTCTGCTCCTGGGCCAGGGCAGCTACTGCTGATTCATGGAGCTTGGGCTGAGCTGTGAGCCCAGGAACTGTTTCCTCTCATGGGCAAAGTATTCACCTGTAGCCACTTATAGACATCATTCTCGCTAAAACGTCCTTCTTTGCCTTTCAGAAATGAAACTGAAGCACCAGGTCACCTACCCATTATCATCATCCAGCCCTTACAGAGGAAATCCAGGGAAGAGCACAATCATAGCCTTTAGGCAAAGGAAACAGAACACGTGGCACATGGGGCCTGCCCTGCAGCTGGGCCCGACACTCACCCGTGCCCCGGGAGTGGCTGAAGTCGCCTTTTACCACTCGGCAGGTCTTGCCATCGCCGCTGCAGACTCCACACCGGTCTTCTTTGGCCGCGGACCCGATGATGCCATCACAGCCGATTTTCTAAAGAACCAGAGGGCTGGGTTATTCTGTGTGCAAGACCCAGAGGGGTCTTAGGAGGCTGCGCCGCAAGGCTGGCTTCTCTGTGAGGCCCAACACCTTCAGAGGCCCAAGAAAATAGTTTAACTCCTTGGAAGATCAGAGGAGAAGCAAATGAGTAGAATCTGGCCTGGATTATCTTGGTCTTTATGCCCACGTAGTTGCCAAATATATTTTTCTATTTGTTCTGGAGGAGGGAGCCCGCGAAGGCAAAAGTGCCCACAAAAGTCCCCCGGAGGCCTAAAGCCCTGGCGAGTGAAGCCTGCGCCCTCATGCCACCCGGCGTGGCCCCGGTGTCACGTGATTAGTGTTCCCCTTGGGGCTGCAAGGGTCACCTGTATCTTGGTCGAAACAAGCGATAGTCTCAGAACATACAGCAGAAACCACAGGCCTTCCTGCCGAGGTGGAGAAGCCCCGAGCTCACTGAGGCAGGGCTGGGCCCCCCATTTCTCAGGTGGGGAGACCAGGCCACAAAAAGCTCCCATCTCAGAAACCTTTCCCACAGGGCACATCCGGGAACGGAGGAGAGGCAGCTCTACCTTACGTGGGTGTGGGAAGCACAGCCCATGTTTCATGAAAAGTAGAAAAACATTTTGAACTCTTGTTTTTTTTTTTTTTTTTTTTTTTAGAAAAAGCATGAGAATTTTGTATTCTGGAAAGAAAGTTCATGTTATGGTAAATAGTGGGTGTTTACTTACTAGTTAAATTGCTTAAATGCTGCTCCCTCATATTTTTTCCTCTAAAGTGAGTATTTCCAGAACAAGAACTGGGGTTTTCCCATTGCCCTGCACCCCAAGTTAGGTATGGGTGCTTTAGACTGTAAAGTGCTCTACAGCCAGAGATCGGGCACCACAGCAACTCCGGCGGAGGCGATTTAGCATTTTGCTGCGATGCCTGGGTGGGAACGCGCAACGTGCTTCCCTTTGGCACTGGCTCCCACCTGCAGGCGGGACTTGGAGCAGAGCTGGCTGCACTGGAACCCTTGGAGGCAAATGCCCGGCTCACGCCTCCCAGACATAACCAGGATCCTCTGATTCCTCACGGCAGTGGGGCCTCAAATTGAGCCCTCACCTGCGGGGCTGCTAACCACAGGTGGCTGGACCCACCCCAGAGTCTCTGACCCAGCAGGTCTGGGTGTGCCTGAGAATCTGCATTTCTAACAGGCTCCCCGGCCACGCCGATGCTGGGACCTCACCATGAGAACCACGGCACACCATCCAAAGGAACAGGGGGATGTTCTTCGTATTTAATAGTCCTAAAGTCTCATCCTGGGATCCTTTTATTTCTTTGGGAAAGATTTAATGGGAAACTACATCTGTGTGTCTAAAAACAACAGCAGAACTGGACACATTTCAATAAAGCCTTTAAGATATTCTAAGAAGGGAGCAGGTTAGTCTAAAAATGACCACTGTGAAAACTGAAAAGGAGAAGACAAACTTGCTCAAAGTGAGCACAAAAACAGAAAAAGGGAAGACGTGGAGGCTTTAGGAGCCAGAGGCGGCCAGGCAAGGAATGGCTGGAGAAGAGCAGACTGAATGGCAGCTGGGGGCAGTTAGGCGACACGTCAAGACACTGGGGACAACCAGCTGTGATGCTTCGCCAGGGCCGACCATCCAGCAGTCACCTGGAGGGAAACCGGCTGTGACGAGGCACCTGGAACCCAGAGCATGTTGCAGGGGCTGCCTGGATTCTTGCCCTGGACTGCTAGCTGGTGGCTGTAAAGTTGCTCAATATAAAAATATAGGGGCTGTCCCCTGTTCCGGCTGGCACTGGGCCTGCCCATCTTTCCCAGGTTCTCTCAGCTCTAGACCTTCCCTGCGATGGCCTCCTCTTATTTTAAACTTACACCTTTGCTTGTTGGTAGTGAGTCTCTGGCTTCACGCCTGGTTTCCTGTCCTGCACATCAGTTAGAGTTTCCTGATGAAACAGCTTCTAGATGCTCTAAGTAAACATCCCGCTTGGTCCAGACAGCTTCTGCCGGCCCCGGGGAAGAGGACTTTTCAGGTCAGGTACCGACAGGGACTCATGCAGGGCTGCCCTTCCAGTTAGTCCTGCAGGGCATCCAGGGGCGGGACAGGTCCATGTGCTCCGTGCGCTCTGCTCAGCACTGCCTTAGGCGCCGTCTGCGTCCACACGACACAATCGAAGTCACTGATTCTGAATGTTGGAGGAGCTTTAATGACCTACTTAGGAGGCTTGGTGTCCCAAGAGAACAAGATGACCAAACCCAAGAGAACTCCAAGTAATAAACGCTCTAAAGTCTCCCCACATTATCCTGAAGATTCTTAGTTACTTTCCTACCTACACTAGAAATTCTTGTCCCCCATTTCTGAGCTTTCGAAATAGCCATGAAGTCCCTGCTCAGCATCTCTGGTCTGGGCGCTGTGCTGTTGGCTGTTCTATCCACAGAGAACCTCTAGTGCCTGTCTCTTCTCCACGCTCCTGGCCACTCCCTGGTTTAGACCCTTCTTACTCAGGACATGGACTACTGGACCATTTTTCTCCCTGTCTGTTGCCAGACTAGTCGTCACATGAGAAGATCTGTGGCCACAGATCCCCACTGCCTACCAGAAATGTCCACGCTTAGGAGTTCAAGACCCTCCATAATCTCGTCCCAGCTGCTCACCATCTCAGCCTTCCTTCCTTCCCCTCCAAATGTACACGGAATCCAGCCAATTCCCAGCCTCACTCCTGCGAGCACAACGTCACCTTTCAGCTAGATGAGTTGCCACAACAGCCTCCTGACTGATTTCCTGGGATCCCCTGGGACCTCACCAGAGTCAACTCTCCATCATCAAGATCACTTCGCTCCTCCGTCACACTCAGAATAAAACCCAGAGTCTGCCGGGCCCTTACTCCTCTGTGCCAGGCCTGCCCCCTGGACCACCCCCCAACCGCCCCCATTCCTGGGATGCACCAGCCTTGCTCTGGCTTCCTTCTGCCTGGAGCTCTCTGTCCCAGCTCTCTGCCACCCTGGCTCTTCCTCAAATGCTCTCTCCTGTGAGAGACCTGCCATGCCACCCGTTCACAGTCCTCAGCCACAGTTCCTTACTCGGTCTCGCTAGGACACTATTTTCTTCTTCATACATACCCATCTCTAGAGTGATCGTGTCTGTGGGCTTACACGGGCTGTCTGTACACTGCACAGGGACAGGATCCTCTCTGTCCCGCTCTCCACTGAAGCCCAGCATGTACAGTGCCTGGCACACAGCACACGGAACGTGCCTGACAAATACCTGACGCGTGCACAAATCAGAGTCCACACTGTGTGTTTGCTGCCATGTCTGAACCTCTCATCGGCTCTTGGTCATGCCTTCGCCTCTGGTTGTTGGGTTTCCCTGTGTGTCATCTTCCCGACAGACAGGGAGGGCTGCGTCTAATAATTCTTTGTAGTCTCCTCCCACACACAGTGGCTGGTGTGGTGTTGAGCCCACTCTGTGTGTTCAGCAAGTGCATAAACATGATGACCATTATCAACCTGGGCGTGTGAGTTTTCTCATATTTGAACTGAGATTTGTCTGTACAGGTTTAATGGTCCTTGTTTGGTTGGCTATTTTCTGGCTGTAATCAGTAGTACTTGCTTTCTTCAACTTAGTAGCCATCTTCCAACTGCTGCCTCATTCTGTCTCTTCTGCTGGCAGGAGGCCACTGAGCTATTTGACTTTTAAGAGCATGTGGATTTCAGGCCAGCTGCAGAGTCATCGTGCCGGGATTTACTGGGCTCCTGGGTGAGTCCACCAGGGCCTATAGGGCTTCTCCTCCTCTTGCTGGACTTCATCCTCGTTTTGTGAGATGACATGTAATTTCTTCAGAATGGATGCATGGAAAGCAAAATTTCTGAGTTCTCCTGGGTCTCAATATCACTCTAGTTTGAGTGCATGCTTAGTTGACAGTTTGGCTACACACAGAATTCTATCTTCATCTCAATTTTCTGCCACGGTTAGCTTTTCTACTTTTCTTGGTCTTTCTCACTCATGTTGCTGGTTTTCTTCAAAGAGCTGGTGATCTCTGGTTGCCTCACATCTGAGGATGAGGAACAGAAAGGCTGAATGAGGGAGAGCTGTATTTAAAGGCGGGCGGTGCTGTATGGTAGGTTTCCTTTCAGCACCAGTGGGAAGGAAGCCGGAATCTACCCCTGAACCCAGAAGACTAAGTGTGTACTCGGCACAGAGCCACCCCTCTGCTCTGGCCATGCCTGCACAGTTCATCCCATGACTTTGGAAAGGAGGCCCTAACAGCCCGGCAAGCTCCAAGAGCAGGACCAGCCATTGCCAGCCACATGGGGTGCAGCCTGGAATCATCTCTTTGTTTTTAGCCCACCCTTCACTTCCACCCTCCATTCCCAGGTCCAAGACTCTTGGGTTGTGGTTTCTTTTTGGTTGCAACTTTCCATTTGTTCCATTTCTGGCCTCTGCAGCTTTGTTCCTTCAACAACACTTCCATCCACTGTTGTCCTCCAGAAAGACATGGAGTCTCCCTTTTGTCTGGGGGCCTCTGCTTCTCTTCACTGTTATGGTTTGTGGAGTCCCAGATAGCAGAGGCAAGAACATGTAGCTCAGTCTGCTGACTTTGTCCAGAAGTTGCTAGGGGAGGTTCATCAGAAAAACAGGGGTGCAGGGAATGACTTCAGAGTTGTAGGCACGCTATCCATAAAGATCTGGCACCCGCAGTCACACACCTCAGGGACATCAGCTACAGGGCCATGATGAGAGGAAAGACAGGAAGTGGGAGGGCATCGCAGAAATACAGACCCAAGCACAAATGTGGGGCCCACTGCCCTGCATGTTCATTACCTCTTTTTTACATGGGCTTACTCTGAGGCCAGAGTCTCTTACAATTCTCCTAAATCCCTCCAGTAATTCCACATGCCTAATACACCTTTGGACACAAAATGGGGAGCCCATAAATTCTTGACAATGGAAATGGTCCATTGAAATGGGCTCCAGATTCCAGAAATCCTAAGAACAGGTAATCCATCCATCCACTCTTTTCGTTTTTCCACATGCAATCAAAAGCTTTGTTCTGAGCCAGCTCATGAGAGAACGCAGATGAACCAGACACAATTCTTCCACTGAGGAAGCCTACATACAGGCCCTGAAGGTGCTTTGGTTTGGTATTCATTAAGCCCAGGATACAAACACAAATTACGGTCCCAAGGAAGTATGACCCGAATTAGAGTATGTTGGCTACAAGTGTACATAAAGCAGGAAAGTGCTAAAGGACAGCCAAGCGTATCTGGATCTCAGGTGTACTTGGACCTGTCCACCGTCCAAAGGGTAGAGCTATGCGTCTGTTGGACTCGTTCACGGCATGTCGGTTGCTCCAGAGGCCAGTTGTGTGCGAGAGACTTACTACCTTGCTTTCTTTGCCACTGGAGGCCAACAATAGGAATTATTAATGAGGGGACTCCTGATTTATAGGGGCTTGCTGAAAAATATACAATGTTTGCGTTTCTTTCCCCCAATTCCCTCCCACTTTTATGAGTGCTGTTAAGTTTAATTTCAGCATGTTAAGTAATTTGTGACTCACTGAAATGAAACTTAATTCAGTCCTCATAAAAACAGAATAAAATGGTATTTCCATGTTTCATGTTATGGTTTGAATCAGCCTGCTATTTGGAGCGTGGTGGAATCTACTCAAAATGCCATTTTGGAGCCTCTCATCCCCTACCAACGAGTTACTATGTTCCTCAAAATTTCCCAGAATTCCTTCAGCTACCCAAAAATAGCAAAATTTATAGCTGAAGGGAACAGCAGGAAAAGCTAGTAAGCAAGTCGTGGCACTATTTCTGCAAGTGCCGTCTTATATAAAATGTGTGTAGTTTCTACCCTTTATCCGTTGCATTAGATGATTTTATCAATGAACAGATACAGGTTATCTGCTCAATAGACTCCTGGGACTTTTTAAATGACCATTACTATTATTTTCTTCAACCAATTTTCCTTGCCTTACTCACCCTACAAGTTCCACAGGAATCCAGAACATCCCATTTTGGCAAATGCTGCAACAAGGCATAAATACTATATTTGTATTTAATTTATGATCTTATTGAAGTATGCTCAATTTTTATGATACAAATTCATTAACTGATTAATACTTTGGAGTTGTATGAGAACTGACTTAAGAGTGGGCTAAGATTCATCTTCACAGCATCTCTCTGAAGAAAGGGTACTGTTAGAAAAAGTGCAGATGATTTTTAACTTTGTTCAGAAAGCAAGTTGTTTCTTAGGGTTTAATCTTGAGAGGTGCTTGCAGGCAGGTGCTGCTGTCACCTACAGGATGGTGGCCCTTCTGCGAGGACTGGCGGACTGCCTGGATCAGAGGTCACCAGGGCGCATGCATCCAGGAGATGGCACTTCTGAGAACTGGCCGCAGGGTCCCCCAATCAGCAGGGCAAGGGTCCCGAGGAGCGAGACCACCATGGGGCATGGTGACAGGCGCCTCCACCTGCACCTCTGGGCCCTGGTGACTGTGCTGGTCAGTGCCAGGCTCGGTGCAGGTGCCAACACACATAACCATGATGACAGGAGGTGCTGAGGTAGCCTGGGGGAGGGGGTCTGGGAACAGGACCGCATGTGCCCTAACGTCATCTCCATCACACCTTCAGGGGGCTGAATGTTTGTGGTCCCCCAAAATTCACACGTCAAACCTCTAATCCCAATGTGATGGTCTTGGGAAGCGGGGCCTTTGGGAGGCGATTAGGCCGTGAGGGTGGAGCCCTCACAAAAGGGGATCAGTGCCTTTGTAAGAAGAGGACAGAGAACCAGCCAGCTCTCTTTGTGCCACGTGAAGACACAACGAGAAGTCAGCAGCCTGCGACATGGAATTGGGGCCTCACCAGCACCCGACCACACTGACACTTCCAACCTCTAGAATGCTGAGAAATAAACGCCTGCGGTTAATAAGCCACCAGCCTATGGTATTCTGTTACAGCAGCCTGAACTGACTGAGACAACACCCAGGTGCAGTACAGGTTCAATGGCGCCCTGAAGACCACAGACTCGAGGCTATTCAAATGCCCGGAGGGGCATCTTGCCCTTGTTCCACTGACTGAAGGACTGAAGGTTTCACTGTCGGTACAGTGCTGACAGCGTGGAGAAGATTCCCCAGTAGGAAAGGCTGTGATTAAAACCAAGGTCATGGAAGGGGCCCATTGGCACCAATCACTCAGAGCTGAAATTATGTCAGTAACAGAGACCTCACTGGCTACAGAGTCGCAGGATTCTTAGAAATGCCTCTCCATTGGCATGAACTCTGCAGAAGACGCAGGCAAGAGGCTGGGGGTGGCTCAGCTGGTGTTGCTGTAAAGGGCACAAGAGCTCTGATTTGGGCAGTTGTTACCCCAGGAACGTCAGTCACTGGGCAGGATGGCCCACGCGGTGTGTAATTTAGGAAGGAAATGAACTGTGCTTGGCACGCTAGCAGGCTCACCAAGAACTGTCAACAATGCCCTGATTCAGTAACAATGACAAGGGCTTTGTTCACCCTGCCCAAGGGGCTGGGCCTTGAACATTCTTTGCTACGAGGAAGCATCCCTGACGGCCAGGCTCAGCCACTCATCGTGGCCTCCTCCCCGCGGAGGCAGCCTTGCCAACACTGTTGGGCACCAAGCGTTTATCACCCAAGCTTACCTGTATTTGATAACACAGCCAGGTGGCCCCAAAGGAGTCTGGATCTTGTCAAACTTTTCCCTGAAAAATCCAGGTTTGGAACTGGCTTGGACTTTGCAGGAAAAATAAATGCACTTGGGCTGAAATGGTTTGCTGTGGGAATTACCCCAGAAGTTGTCTTTGTCTGTCTTCCTGTCTCGCTTCCTTCTATTCTGTTTTTCATTCACGCACCAAAACATGGATGCTACGTACTCTGCAAGGCACCTGGGAAGCCAAGAGAATGAGCCAGGTCTGCTGCCCATGTGGGCAAGTGGATGTGAGGCTCGGAGGCCAGTGTCTGGCATGATAGTCCTCTCTTCCCCATGACCCTGGGGACTTCGATTTTTCCCAATGTTTTTAAGATTTCCCTGAAACTGAGCAGTAACTTTGGAGGGTGTGGGGACTGCAGCACCAAGAGCCACACAGCTCCTGGGAAGCAGTTTCCTTCTTCCAAATACACTCAGAAGGCCCCTCCGTGGCCCTTGACAAGCAGACTGCTCGGTTAGTCTCACGGAGGGGTTGGTCAAGCGAGGCCAGGGAAGCGTGAACACTGGAAGACAGACCTGGTTTTCCTTTCTACACCAAATGTGTGGCCATCCTGACACTGTCTGCCTGCTCCAGACTCCAGCAACTACCATCTCCGATGGGTCTTGGTGGGCTCACCTGCTGGGGACATGGTTCAGGGAAGGTGACTGCAATGATGACGAGAACAGGCATCCGTGACCAAGGGAGGAAGGGCTCCCTGGGTGCTGTGGTCTGAGTGTTTGTGTCCCCCAAATTCCTATGTTGAAATCCTGACCCCCAGGGTGATGGTGTCAGGAGGTGGGGCCTTTGGGAGGTGATCAGGTCCTGGAGGTAGAGCCCTCATGAACAGGATTAGTGCCCCCATAAGAGAGACCCACAGAGAGCTCAGTAGCCCTTCTACCACGCCGGGACACAGGGAGAAAATGCCATCTATGAGAAACAAGCCCTGACCAGGCATCAAGTATACTTGTGCCTTGACCCTGATATTCCAGCTTCCAGGAAGAACCACAAGCAACAAGTTTCTGTAGTTTACATGCCGCCCAGCCCACGCATTTGGTTACAGTAGCCCAAGGGGACCAAGACACGGGGCTCTCTCACAACACGCCCAGACTGAACTGGAAATACATGGTGCCTGCGGCATAACCCAGGTGGCATCGCCTGAGCCATGTCCCTCTAGGCACAGGAAATACTCACCTTCGTGACTGCCCCACCCCCCGTGGCCCCACCAATTCCAGCGGCTGCACCACATCAGGAGACGCCCGTTCTGAGGGACAAACAGGGTCACCTCTGCTACCCCAGGCCAGGAGCACTGCCTGGGGAGGGCTCGGGCTGCAGGTGGCCTGAGCTCGGGCAGAGTTAATGCAGGTGGAGGGAAAGCTTCCTTTCTTCCTTCTTCCCTCCCTCCTTTCTCTCTGTCCTCATAAATGACTTCATCACTGTCCTAACGCGTTAGGGACATCCCACGTGAGGATGGAGCCGGGGACCGTATTCCATGGGGCAGAGTGCTCCCCCAAACCAGGCATATCTACCTGCCCAGGTCCCACCTGCAAAGGACTCTGCTCAGTTCTACTACAGCTTTCACGACGACGCAGGGCACAGCCTGCCCATGTGCCGCCCCGCCTCATCTTAGCACGCTGCCTGCCCTTTTGTTGGTCTAGAAGTCTAAAGCAATTTTAAAAAGTTTTTAAAAAGATCAGATTGCTCCTGTTCTTTCAGCCACCTCAACTCCCTGTTGGCTTGCTGGGGACCTGCCAGACACCTGTGCTCAGTCACTGCTAAGGGCAGGTGGCACAGCAGGTGCCACTGGCTGCAGGAGGCAGCACCACTGGGTGCCTTCCCGAGTTAATCCACTCCCCCAGGGGTCCCCAGGCCTCAGCTCCACCGCAAGCCCCCACCAAGGACACAGACAAAAGCACATCACCTGGCACCTGCCGTGCACGCAGAGGTCAGTCTCGTAGGGCCCACAGGGTGTGCCATCCAGGACCCTGTCGGCCACCAGCAGCGGAGACTCCTTTCCGAGGGGTGAGCAGTAGAGCTCACACGGCTTATCTGAGGAGGGAAAGGTTGGTGGATGTTGACGTGGGAAGGGGCGTGTGGGCCAGGCAGGCTGCAGGTACCCGTGGGCAAGGGGAAGCCCCTGGGAAGAGAGGTTGGCACAGGTAAATAAGGGTCTGGACAACTTAGCGCATGTCCTCGGCTACATACTCCATCTCCTGCAGCACAGGGAAAAAGGCCCTCGGGCTCCAGAGAAAGACAGCACAGGTATGGGGCTGCTTCTCCTGTTCTCTTTATCCTTTGTAAAGATACAGCATTTCTTCTCCCTTAAGGCATTAAGCATGCCAGGCTGACAAAGGCAGTTGTGTGCTAACTTCTCAGTAAGTTGAATGTGGGTCAAGGGTGAACCCAGGAGCTGCTCTTGCAGTGGGGGTGGGGAAGGAAGAGGGGGCTGGGGAAGGAAGAGGGGGTGGGGAAGAAGGAGAGGGTGGGGAAGGAGGAGAGGGTGGGAAGGCGGGGAGGGTGGGAAGGGGAATGACTTTGGGTGGGGCAGTGGGTCCCAGGGGTCTCCACGCCAGAGGTTTTGTTGAGCGTGTTAACCACCAGGGGCCGCTGGGTAACAGCCGCAGAGCTGTGCTGTGGGGCACAGAGGGCCTGGAAGAAACTGGGTGGGGTAAGGCACAGAGAGGGGACACGTGGGCTGCTAAGGAAACTCGTAAGAGTCCTGTGCGGAGACAGGATGGAACCCCGGTTTCTGATGCTCCTGGGGCCACAGAACACACCCAGCTCTCTCGCCTCTGCCTGGGCTGTTCTCTCTGCCTGGAAATCCCCCCTACCTTGACCTCCTAGAAGGATCCCACCACCCTGGAAGCTTCCACTCCAGAGCCGCCCCTCTCATGCCGTCTCTGACGTGGGCAGGACGGGCATGGATTCCTCCATCAGAGCCCTGGCTATCAGCCTGCTGCTGTGTAACTCGGGCACCTGCAGATCAAGCGATTTATTATACGGCAGGCCCCGCTGCTGAGGGAGCGTGACCCGGACGAATTTTAATGACCTTTGGACTGGAGCACTGAGGAGCCCTAGAGGGCAGGGGACCAAGTTTTCATCTTTTGTCCCCAGACTGTGCCCAGGGCTGGGCCCACAGAAGGACTCAGTGTATATTTTTGAACAAATGAGTGGACTTTGTTCTTCTCTAAGTAATTGAGCAAGAGGAACATGCCTTTTTCTTTCTCTCTCGGTCACCTAATGCCACTCATGTGACTGCTTTGCACAGGCAGCCTCCCGAGAGCTTGGTCCCCACCCGCAGCCTTCCCCAGTGGGTTCTTCTGGTGGCCTGGGGCTAACAAGGGCAGGGACAGAGAAAGGCTTCTGCAGCTGACTTGAGAGGAGCTCAGCGTCCCAGCCGGAGTGTTCTCTACAGAGTAGATGCACCGTCTCATCCAGCCTCTGGGGCTCTCCTGACTGGGTGACTAAACCACCCCTGCGAACAGTGGCCTTCCAGAGCCTTCTCCCAGAGCTCTGCTGGTCAACATGATGGTGGGAAGTCTTGTCTTGGAGCACCAGAAAGAAGCTCCGGGGGTGTGGTGGAAATGCTTGACACGGTCCTTCCAGTTAGTTGTGGGGGAACAAAATCTGCTCTGAAGAACAGACTAGAGATCTCCAGCTTCCCAGGTCGGCAAAGTAACAATGCGCCGACATTTATTCATCCAACATGCACGAGCCCTCCTTCACACAAGGCACTCTGTGGGCACCGCTGGGGAAAGATGAGTGACGTGTGCTTTTCAAGGCCCGGGGTGGGGGTGGGGCTCATGGACAAGTGCACAGCAAACCCAGGGTGAGGCAGAGCGTGGCACGTCCCCTGAGACAGGGCTGACGTGAGCTGTCGGAGGGCCGGGCGTGACCCGGAAGGAATGACTCATTTCCTGCGCTGGCGGGCCGCGGGCAGTTGTCCTTCCTTCCCTGTGCAGGGAAAGAGCCAAGGAGGTGGCCGGTGGAAGGGGAGCTATGAAAGATGGAGATGTAAACTGAGACCAGCTCTTGGAGGCTCATTTGACAAGATTATTGAGGTGCCTTTTGGGGCCCTGAGGTTCTCAGAGCATTTGGGGGAGCTGGTGGGAGAAATACAGTCCCCCAATCCCCCGAGTGTGGGGTCTACTCTATACACTGGCCTGCCTCTACTATTTAATTGGAAGGAAGGGTGGGTGCCTTGGCAGCAGTGGTTTGAAATTGTGGATTTTAATTACCTTTGGACTGAAGTACTGACTCAGTAGTGGGTGGTGATTTGTTCAATAGCAGTTGACAGCAATAATCATGATAAAATCATAAATAATGTTATTATATACCATGTGTCAGGTGGCACAGCTAAGTAGTATCTATGCATTTCGGATGGGTGCTGTCATCGTTCCATCCTACAGTTGTGTACACAGGGCTCATGGGATGTGCTTGGCAGCCAGTGTTCCTTGGCTGGCAGGGCCGCACACTGGCCTCTAGGCCCTGGCCTGGTTCTCTTTCCACCACCGCTGCTTGCTCTCTGAATGGAGAGCTCTCAGGGCCTCAGTTGCCAAGAAGCAAAATGGCATCGCTGAAAACCGCCGGTTTCACAAATGTTTCTGGCTTTGGAGTATGCACCCTGATTTGAGCAGAGATGGAAATGAGATTTGGGCAGAAAGCAGAGGCTGTGTTGCAGGCAAGTGAGAAAGACCAGGCTTGGAAGGTGTGAAGGTTGTTTATCTGGGCTCACTGGTGTGAACGTCAGAGAAGTGGGGACTCTCCAAGGCCAGCCCTGGACAGGGAGATACTGGCCATGAACCCAGCAAAAGGTCCACTCAACTCCATCTGCACGTGATGCCCTCACCTGCAGTCACTGTCCTGCCCAGTTTGGCCAGCCTGGACCAGCCAGGCTCCAGAAGAGACTCCAGAGCTGGAGCTTCCTTCTGCTCAGCCAGAATTCCCCCCACCTGTCCATCTCCTTTGCTGAAGGCTCTGCTCAGAATGCAGGGCAGCCACACCTCTAGCAAGGTCCGGCGCTGTCTCCCAAAGGCACGTATTGAAAATACGAGAAGGTGGCTCAGAGCCCCTCGAAATCCTCTATTTCCTTGCAGGCTGCCATGGGTGTGGAATTAATCTCTAGGAGACCCTGGCATGTCACATGAGGTGGTGGGATTCAGCCTTGAGCACAGAGTCAGCACTCTTATATTTCAAGTAGTATAGAAGGAAGTCTCATTTTCTTAAAAGGTATAGAATAACACATTCAAAACAAAGCTGGGAGCAACCATCCCGCATGGCTGGTGTGTGCTGAGATGGAATTCTGATTGAGGCTGGGGTCGGTCAGGACTTCTGTTTGGCCAGGGGAAGCCACAGACAGGGCAGAGAGACGGGCTCCACAGGATCATATCTGCTTGCCAGGGGCTCAGAGGGGTACTCCCGGTGCTCCACAGTGGAGGGGACAGTTGTGGCCCTCAGCATTCTCACCACTCTCTCTCTGTCAGTAGTTAGCATTTCTCAGTACAATAGAGATGCCATTCAATTGAGGCCATCCCAGGGCTCGTCCAGCTCTGCCTGGCCCTCTGTGGGAACATGCACCATGGAGGCTGCTCAGCCCTTGTCCCCACAGCTGCCCACCGCAGCCTCTGAGCCAGGCCTCAGCTGCTTAGACCAGCAGTGACCACCTGTCCGCAGCCGGACCATTCCTAGTCTCTTTCCTGGGAACTTAGCACTGAAAGTCAAATACAGGGAGATCACGCCTGTGCTTGGATCCCAAAGGAGGCCACACCCCCTTATCTGTAATTCAGAAATCTCAAAAGCTCTGAACACAAGCATTCTCCAACATTTGTGGCAAACATATTTGGCAGCAAGGCCAGCCTGGACTGACACGAGGCTCTTGGTAGTGCTAGCATCCTCCTCGATGGGGAGGTTCACAGGTTGCCTGGTAGAGAGGTCCACGTGTCAACTCTGGGATGCCTCCCTGGGTCCCACTAGGGGTATTAATATGCGGTTGATGCACTGTTATTACCTTTCTAACACCCACAATGCTCTGCATTCTGACCCATACCTGGCCCCTAAGCACCTGGGTAAGGGGTGTTTACATAAGAGGCGCCATGGGTTGCCCTCTCTGTGCACGTGAATGGGCTGTGAGAAAGCCAACCTGCAGTGGGCGCAGGGGGATGTGACTGCCAAATGCGGGCTGTGGGTGCCATGAAGGGAAGGTCCCCGCATCTTCAGGGGCCTTGGCCCTGGACCAGCCTCCTGGGCCTGGGGTCCTGAGAGATACGCTGCATCTTTGCAACAACTTCCCTCTTTTTCATTAAGCAGCTCCAGCTGACTCGGCCGAGCTGGCATCAGAGAGCCCTACCCATCAGTCGTCATCTCCGAGGAGGCTCGGACTCAGGTGGGGCAGGGTTCCGCCGTGCCAGGGAGAAAGGAGCTGGGAACACACAGCCACGTCCAGGCACGGCCTTCGCCAGGCCGTCCGACATGTCAGTGGGCCCCCGGCCTGCTGGCCTGGACAGAAAGGACTGAACTCTCGAAGGTTTCCACTTCAATGAAATTCCGCGGGGAAAGCAGAAACGGGGTGGGTTTGGCGACTGGCCATCTCTACGGGCTTCTGTCTGAAGGCTTTTCCACTTAGAAATATTTTCTAAGGAGAGTCTTTGTCTTCTGTCGGAGGTGGTATGGATTTGTGGTCCTGAATCCTCCCTTGGAAAATCTACCTCTGCAAGAATTCTTTTAAAAAAAAGAGAGAGAGAGAGAGAAAGAAAACAAAAAATATAGCTTCCCCTTTCTTGAACCCTGCGTCACTGGCCAAAGAATTCTGCGGCGATAGCAATGCTATGAATAGGGCAGTCATCATGGCTTCACGGCAGCCCGGAGCCCAACCACAGGAATCGCTCCTATCGCGGCCGCGCTAGAATTGTGCCTTTTATAAGACGAGCTTTGAGAGGAACACTTATAATCTGTATTCTCCCCCTGCCTTCTGAATTGGCCATTTATTATTTTGTTTGTAGCCTTGCGAAATGCTCCCTCTGAAAATGCTGGCTTCTGTTTACACTTGCGAGAGAAGTGAAACCACAGAGGCAAGAAGTCATGACCAGTCCTCCCCCGAGGAGGACGCGTCGAGCTACCCTGGCAAAGGCCTGAACTCGGGGTCTCTCCTTCAAAGGCAAAATACGCACTGCCTGTGAGCCGTCCTTATCAAACAGGGCCGCGCTTTTTGGATCAAAGGCGGTGGCACTCCACTGATGATTATTTATTACTTGGGAAGAACCAAAAAGCGAGTGGGTGAAAAGTCACATTCTGAAGCCAGTGAGCCTCCCCAACAGCCTCCCCGAGAGGCTTCCTGGACGGAGGGGCCCAGCAGACACGAGGCTCAGCCACGGTGACGATAAGGCCACCAAGGAGCTCAGCCATCCCAAAGTGGTGAGGAGGAAAACAGACGTTTAACCTGGACTTGGTGAAACCTGGGGAAACGCAGACATTGAAGTGGGATTTCTGCATTGGATAAATGATGTCGGAGCAGTGAAGCAAGCAAGCGAGGGAAGAACAACAACTTTGCGCACACAGTTGGGTGGAAAGGAAAGAGGGGCGAGTCTGTTATCAACCTGACCTCTTCTTGCCCCTGCAAAGCGGCAGAGGACAGAAATGAGGTCTGGAATTGTCTTTATCTGACATGTTGGGGACGGCTGAAGGTTTGGAAAACAAGGCTGCTTCTCATCAGAACCGGCCACGTGCTGGAGAGATGGCCGCTCTCTTTGGTGCTATCTTGCTCCTGATTAGTGGTCTGGACGTGCCTGACACAGCCTGGCATAGCCTCCTCCCCGCTCCTGCGTCAGGGTCGCGGCCAGGCAGAGAGAGGCGAGGGCCTGCTCCGAGCGCGTGCGTGCCTCCAGCCGCGGGCGTTCTTCTCGAGAGGGGCATTCTTCTCTCTCCCTCAACTGCAGGGAAAGTCGAGGATGTGAAGGCCGTGTTTCCCTCGAATTCTGCTGCTAAGTGACAGTGCAGCTACAGTACATAGCCCCTGAAGGTGCTATTTTTTTTTTTTTTTAATAAAAGGAGAGTGTCTGGGGAGCTCCCCAATACTTTAAAATGAGTCTGCAGCCGAGTGGGTTGACATTACCTTGTACGATTTAGAACATCTCACGTCACTTTGCAAGTCAGCTCAGAGACGATGGGTCAAGATTGTTGGGCTAAAAGCTGCAGATCTGAGGCCGCTGTTCCGGTGATGCCTGGACTTACTCTTGCACAGCCAGGCACACTTGCACTTGGACCAGCAGACCGCAGAATGTGGATTTCAAAGGTTCTTCCTGTTACATGGAAGAAACCTAAGACCTGGCACTGGAACGTCATTCTTTGCAAAACACTTCTGAGGCTGTCTAAAAGTCAGACCCGGTTGCTTTTGTTCTTCTTAGAGCTCCCTTACTCCACACCCACGAAGTCACGCTTTCTGTCTTGCTCGAGTACTGGAAGCTGGATGATGGCTATTTTCTGTGAGTCCCCTTGACCCCTCCGGAGCTGGGGTCAGCTCCCACCCAGGCTTCTTGACAGCTGCAGGAGCTCTGACGTGTCCTGTAACCTCAGCACAGCTAATTTGCATATTAAATGGATGGCATGTGCCTGGCATGTAGTATGCTGATAAGTGGGACCATACTGTCATCATTACATACAGTCTCATTTCCTGAAGAGGAACAGTTTTAGGTGGAAAACAGCCCTGAACCAGGTCCTGGGTGTCCTTGTCTATAGCAGACAGACATCACAAATCCTACACTGACATGTTGCATCACCTAGAATTTTGTCGGCCACTAGAAATGCTTGCAGTGTCCCGGGGTGGGGGGCAGGGCCTATTGATTTGGGAGAAAGTTCTTAGAAAGAAAATATGACCTGTGCTTATCAACATCTTTCCCAAATTGTAAACGGTTCTCAAAATTTTCCCCAACACCCAGGCAAGGAGTAAGAGTCAATCCAAAATGAACTAGGAGAAGGCAGGAAAGCATCCATCCACACTGGAAAGTAGAACAGCAGACACACTGTCCTGCTCCTGAAGGGCCTCGCTGTCCTCTAAGTTTTTCTCAGGTCCCCCAGCCCGCAGTGCTGGGGGAAGGCTGCCAGCACACCCGCCTTGCTGCAAGTGGGGGGCGCAGGGTGCATCTGGCCTGTGCCTGCCTCGACAGCTGCCACTGGGAGATCTCAGAGAGTTGGGTCATTCAAGTTCAACCCCACTGCTCAAGAAGTGGGGCTGAGGCTGACTTGTGCAAGGACTGGAGTGTCCTGTTGGGTGGATTTGGAAGGGGGAGGTGTCCTGTGGGTTTCCCTAGGTGGTTTTTATGGTCTCAGGGAGAAAAAAAGGAGGTCACCACGCAAGGACACGCCATATGCCTTTACCTTCCACCACCACCGCTGTCAGCAGGCCCTTCTTCTTGTTGCTCAGTCGGTCGTGCGCCTGGCACTGCTGGTCCCGGAAGCTGGGCAGACCCTTGGGGCAGGGCGGGTTCTCGCAGACTGCATGCTCCACACTGGCGCCCAGGCAGTGTGTGCCTCCAGGCCCAGGGCTAGAAGGAAGAGGAAGGTCTGCATTAACCAGACAGGGCCGCAGACAGCAGGGGAATTCCACTTTTGTCTCTCTTGCCAGGAGTGGAACAAGCGGGGCAAGGTTTCCAAAGCAACCCCCCTCCCCGCAGACCACAACTCAGCAATCCCAGCCCCATGCTGACGACACAGTTAAGTCAGCCCAGAAAGATGCACATAAGAACTGTCAACGAAGGTCATGCAACAGAATGCAGTGGGTACCAGTTTAGCAAGATCCACAAATTTTCATCTGAACTTAAATTTGGCCATGGGTAACACTGGAAACTCCAAAGAACATTTTTTTTTTTCCGGCGGGGGTGTTTGGGTGGCTGTTCTCTGAAATGAAGACATTTAAATGGCCCCTGGGTATGCTCTGTGGGTCGCTACATTTCAGGATGAGTAAATATAAGCAGTTCTTGTTTACTTTAAAGTGAAAAGAACAAGAATGATGAGTTCACTTGCACATGGGCTTTGGGTAGAGACCAGTTAGGCCCTGGCTGTGCCACCTTCGGCTGGGCACGTGTGCGACCACAGGTGGTCAGTGCTGCAGTCTTGCATCCGGGACGCTCTGTGCTCACACTGGGGTTCAAGCTGTTCCGGAGACCCGGGCTGTGGTCACTGGCCAAGTCCACGAGTGTGAGCTCTGCCCACTCTTCCACCAGGTCCCAGGGTGTCCCTGGAGGACTCTGACCTGGGCAACCTCCATGGTTCAGTTCATCTCCATGATGCCAAGATCATCACGATGGAGTGAGATTTCTCATTCCCCCCACCCCCATACTTTTTACTGAAATTCATCACATGAGAGAAAAGAGCACAAATCACAACTGTTCTGCTCAATGAATGTGCGCAAATTTCACACATCTGTTGGCAGGATGACATTTCTGACACATTAACTATGTCATTTTGGGTATTTCTTTTCCTCCCCTTGCCATTTCTCACATCCAGATGGCAAGGCCACCCTGTGAACACTGCTTTAGGGAACAGATACATGGTAGAAGTCTTCAGGCTTCTCTGTCCTATAAGTCTACACCAAGGGTTGACAAACTTTTCCTATAAAAGGCCAGATAATGAATATTTTTGGTTTTGTGAGCCACATAGTTTCTGTTGTAACTATTTAATTCTTCCACTGTACCACAAAAGCAGCCAGAGACAATATGTAGAAGAATGGGCATGGCTGTGGTTCAATAAAACCGTATTTAAACAAGCAGGTGGTGAGCCAGATTCGGCCCACGGGCCACAGTCTGCCAGCTCCTTCCAGAGGTCTGGAAGAAAACACCCTGAGAAGAAAGAAAGGCTCCCTTCATACCTCTCTATCTACTTCATATATTCCAGGAAACAATTCCCTCCCCTGGGAGTAGAGGCGGCCTGGGGAGAATACATACACTGGTGGAGCCCTGAGCTCTGGTCTCCAAGATAAGCCCAAGTTAGGAAATGGCTAAACCTCTACAAGGCTTATGGGATCCGAGAGTGGAGGGTCTACATGTTCTGTTTCTTCTCTAGAAGACCAGGGGTGGGAGGCAGCTGATCTCATAAATGATTGCATGGCACATTTAGGTAGATGGAGCCTGAGATGCCTCCCCAAGAACCCTGGGGCAAGCACCAGGTGCCACAGAGAAGAGTGTGGAAGGACGAGAGAGGGGCTGGCCCTGAAGAGCCATGTGGGCCAGCAAGAGAGACATCGCCATGGCAACAGGTGAGTCCCCACATCTGGGGACCAGAGAGGGAATAAGTGATGCATCAGATGCTATATGGCAAGGTGTTATAAGCTGAACTGTGTCCTCCTCAAAATTCATATGCTGCAGTCCTAACCTCCAATAACTCAGAATGTGACCTTATTTGGAAATAGGGCCATTGTGGTTATAATTAGTTAAAATCAATCATACTAGAAGAGGTTGAGCCCCTAATCCAATATGAATTGTCCTTAAAAAAAAGTTGAAATCTGGAGACACACAAACACACAGGAAGAACATCCTCAGAAGATGAAAGGAGAGATTGGGATGAAGTGTCTATACTCCGAGGAATGCCAAAAATGGTCAGCAAACCATCGGAAGCTGGTACAGAGGTTGGGGACAGAGTCTCCTCATAGCCCTCACGAAGAATCACCTTTGCTGACACTTTGATCTTGAATTTCCAGGCTCTGGCACTGTGAGACTATAAACTTCTGTTGTTTAAGCCACTTAGCTTGTGGCACTTTGTTATGGCAGCACCAGGAAACTAACATACCATATGGGTGCCGCAGGACCAGATGCATCTTTGCAGAAGTGAGGTGCAGACTCAGGGAAAGTGGGGCAAAAACTGAAGTGCTAGGAATCCCACATGAACTGGGAGTTTAAAAACACAAATTAGGTGGGTTTCTAGAAACATAAAGGAAGCCATATTTCCTATATACCTTAGGGAGTGAACTGCCATTTGTGCACATTATGTAATTAACTTTCTACGTTGTCATCAAGCTTCATTTTACATTCAGTTTCATTCCTTCCCGCCAAGTGATTTCTCCAGTTTTAGATCCAGCTGGCCCACTTACACTAACTACCTGTACATCTGACAACGAGTATATGGACAAGAGATTAGATGTGACATAAGAAAACTGGATCCAGGAGAAAGAGGGCCTGGAGCAGCAGCCCATTGGATACCACATGTGCTTTGCAGTGCCTCCCTCCAGACCTGCTTATGCTGCTGCTTCTCCCTGTCCAGTCTTCTCCTGTGGGCAAGTCTCCTTTGGGCCCTTATCTAGCCTACTGCCCCCTCATCTCCACCTCCCACCTCTGCCTATGCAACCATAAAACATAATAAAATTTTAAAAAATGAAAGCAAACTCTGAGGAAAAGGGAGAAATTGTTTCTGTTTCCTGAATTATCAAATTATAAGATTCAAATGTCTAGTTTTCAACAACAACAACAACAACAAAATCACAAGACACACACAAAAAGGGAAAGTATAGCTCATTCAAAGGAAAAAAATAGGCTGGGCATAGTGGCTCATGCCAAAGTGGGAGGATCACTTGAGGTCAGGAGTTTGAGACTGACCTGAGCAAGAGCAAGAACCTGTCTCTGCTAAAAATAGAAAAAAAATTAGCTGGGTGTCAAGGCAACTGTAGTCCTAGCAACTTGGGAGGCTGAGGCAGGAGGATCACTTGAGCCCAGGAATTTGAGGTTGCTGTGAGCTAGGCTGATGCCATGGCACTCTAGCCCAGACAAGAGAGTGAGACTCTGTCTCCAAAAGAAAAAATTAAAAATAAGAGAACAAAATTTATTGACAGAACCTGTCCATGAGGAAACTCAGATGTTGGACTTACTAGACAAAGACTTTAAAACAACTTTCTTAAAGATGCTTAAGAACCAAAGGAAGACATAGACAAAGACAGGAAGACCATGCATAAACAAAATGAGAGTATCAATAAAGAGATGAAAATTATAAAAAGGAAACAAATACATTTTGGAGTTGAAAAGTACAATAACCAAAATAAAAAATCCACCAGATGAGTTCAAAGCAGATTTTAGTAGGCAGAAGAAACAACAAGCAAACTTGAATATAGGACAACTTAAAGTATTGAGTCTGAGAAGTAAAAAGAATGAACAGAAGTGAACATAGGGGCTCTGTGGGACACCATAAAATGGACTAATATACACATTATGGAAGTCTTAGAAGGAGAAGAGAGAGAAAAAGGAGAAGAGAATTACTTAAATAATGGCTGAAAACTTCCCAAATTTGAAAAAGACATGGATCTAAAAATATATGAAGCTCAACAAACTCCAGGGAGGATAAACATACAGGAACTCACATTGAGACACACTATTTAAACTGGCAGAAAGACAAAGAAAGAATATTAGAGCACCAAGAGAGAAGTGACATGTCACGTACAAGAGATCTTCAATGAGATTATCAGCCAATTTCTCATCAGAAACCTTGGAGGCCAAAGGGTAGTGGGCTGATATATTCAAAGGGCTTGAAGAAAAAAAAACAAACCTGACAACCAAGAATTCTATGTCCACATAACTGTCATTCAAAAATGATACAAAAATTAAGATACTCCCAAATAAAGATGGAGAAAGTTTGTTACTTCTAGACCTGAATTATAAGAAATGCTAAAGGGAGTTCTTCAAGTTCACATGAAAGGATACTAGACAGTAACCTGAAGCCATATGAAGGACTAAAGATATATATTTTGTACATTATTTGTATTACATACTATATTCTTACTATAAAGTCATCTAGAGAAAAGAAAATGTCAAAAGGAAGAGAAAATACATTTACTATTAAGTTAAAGTGAGTCATCTTAAGGTCTTCGTCCTAGTAATCTTCACCTGGAGCAGGCTGGGCAGGAGGAGGGGGAGGTGGGGTTGGTCTTGCTGTCTCAAGGCGGCAGAGGTAGAAGAAAAGCCACATATAAGTGGACCCAAAGAGTTCAACGCCATGTGTTCAAGAGTCAACTGTACATTGGTCCTGAGACAACAGAAATAGGCACCTCCATCCACGGCACACAGAAGACAGAAGGAGAATCTCTGTGGGGAGAGAATGTGGCTGGCAAGGAGGTCTCCGGATGGCTTCCTGACACAAGCTCTGTGGGAAACTTGAAGGAGGGGACCAGCTTTACCAAGGATTCCGTGCTGGGCTGAGCAGGCAAAGGTTGAGCTATCACCAAGGTTGAGCTATCACCAAGGTTGAGCTATCACACCAAGAATCAGAAGGGAGTCCCAACGCCATCCTTTGGATGAGGAAACTGAAGCACTGGCAGGTTGAGCAACCGCTCCACTGGTGAGCGCGAGGTAGAGATGGGAGATGCAGTGCGCACGAGCACCGGGACCCAGTAGGCAGGGGTGCCTGTCAGCTGCCACGAGGTCTGAAAGGAGAGCCTGACACTGATGTAGTCATCGGGGGTGCAATGGGTTTTCTAAGATAATCTTCAATCTCAATCCACAACTTCTAGGGTTAGGACTATCTAAACAGGAATAAAGTAGAAGCTCAGATATGAAACCAAATGACC